ATTTTAAGTTATATATAATATATAATTACATTTACTGGCCTTAATGTTTGAGAACTATTGTAGAAAATATGTGCTTCTCCAACAAGTATTGAACCTGTAACCTGAATAGGAACCATCATTTGATCTGATGTGCTGTTAACCATTCAGCAACAAAGAAGCGTCTACAAAATCTTCTCAAGCATTCAGGCCAGTAAATGTTATTAATACTGTTTATTTAAAAAAATAGGTCATTTACTTAAATAAATTCTATCTGATAAAATAACGTATAAACAGAAAATATATGAAATAATTGTTGGACTTAATCCATTTCATAATATGTTGTCAATGTTAAGGTACGTTTCATGAGCAGGAAAGATCATTGAAGATTTGTTGTTTATAGACAGTAATTTGGAATTTACTAACCAAATACTTCTATGTGGTGGAATGGTTAACAGCATATCAAATCAAATGATGGTTCCCAATGGGGCTACAGGTTCAATTCCTGTCAAAGAAGCCCATATTTTCTACAAAATTCCTCAAACATTCATGCTGGTAAATGTAATTAATACTGTTTATTTAAAAATTAGAGCATTTACTTAAATAAATTGTATCTAATAAAATAACATATAAACAGAAAATATATTAAATAATTGTCAGACTTACTTCATTATATATATATATATATATATATATATATATATATATATATATATATATCAAATATGTGGTGCAGTTCAATTTATATTATGTTGAAGCTTGAATAAGCATGGAATAATAATACAACACAAAATGTAATGTAACAAAATGTATTGAAACAATGAAAAAAGGTACACAATATTTACAGGTAGTTTTGGTATATTCTTGGGAAGACTGTTCCTGCAGAATGGGTTGACTAAGTCGCAGTCGGGCAGAGTCTCTGGATTCGATCTCTTAATCTTCCCTCGTCTTCCGGTACCAACCCATATTTATATGGTCGGTACTCCACTTATGTAAATTAGGTGTATCATACACAACATATTACAATGAACCATTCATACAAAAAGTAGATTAGTAAAGTTAATGATATAAAATGGCAAAATCCCTTCAAAAAAATTCTCAAATTGCCATATTAGTAAAAAAAACAAAAAAAACGCACTCTTAAATTTAAAAGAAAAAATTCAATCTTAGCGTTGTGACTGCATGTTCTAAAAGTTTGTACCATTAACAATAACAAATTTCAAAGAAAACATATTTCGATTCGCATTTAATTTTTTCATCTCGGATGCTACCTGAATTTTACCAAAAACAAAATAATTCCCCTGACTGAAGATGACTGAATGTACATTTGAAAGTACTTGCATATTAAAGAAAGACCTTATACAGCTTGTAATTTTTAAAAACAAGGATCACAACATTCATCGAGTGATTTGTAGGTTAATGCATCTTTAAAATTTTGTTTGCGAATGGATTTCTCCATTTTATATTATTAACTTTACTAATCTACTTTTTGTATGAATGATTCATTGTAATATATATATATATATATATCAGAATTATCCCTTTTTTGTTCAAGTCTACTTATTGCAATTGTACTTTTTGATTCATTTAAAAATATTTGCCCACAGATAGCTGCATTTATTTAATTGGCAACCTTACTGGTTATTTCAGTGACTGACAAATCTGTTAAAGAGTTCCTTTAGCATTTCTTAAAAGAGAGATGGAGTGAGATAGAAAAAAAAAAGTTTGTTCTTCAACTTGACTGTAAATTTAACTTGATAAACATTTCTTTCTTATCTGATTGGCCTCCCAACTTCACTGAGGCAGCAAAATAGGATGTTTATTCTAACCATAAAAAATGTAAGAGACTCCTTCACTCCCTCCTCTTTAAGTGAGTCAAAATCCACTGAAGACATTGGCTATAGTAGATTGGGCTCTGAATGCTACCTCATATGTAAGCTCTGTGTTTTCTTAACTTTTAAAATCAACAATTTAAAATGTTTTTTTCGAGATGTATTTTTTTTATTTTTGTTTTTCTTTCTTTTAATCTGACATTTATTACATCAAACTTAGGTACCTCCACTGATTTGCTAAAAATTAGCATACCATGATGAAAAAATGCCCCAAACTTAATAAATACAAAATATTTTTTATTATCAAAATCATTATTAAGAGGAAAACCAAAGGATCTTTTGATTATTAAATTATATTTTTTCATCCTTTTTAGAAAGTTGAAAATTTTGGTTAAATTTTTTTTTTTTTTTTTTTTTTTTTGGTGTCAGCCCATTGGCATAGCATAGGGAATTTTAGCATCTTTTTTTAGGGTGAAAAACTCATTGATTTGGAAATTCATGCAAAAATCAAATAATAGTTGGATTTTAATGAAACTTTTAGGACTTATTCACAAATGAAAAATTATTTTAGAAATGTTTTTTTTTTTCTTTGGTAAAAATATAAACTTTTTATCTTTACATCTGTTACACCTTATTTAATTTTATGAAATTTCAAGAAATTAAATTTTGTGCCACTTAATGTTTATATTATTTAAAAGCAGAACTCCTTGGAGAACTTAAATCATCAATTTTATTTTGTAAAATAGAAACACCATTTGCCAACAATCTGCTCTGAATCGTAAATAAAAAATGCAATAAAAGTAAGACATTATTAGAAAAGCTTTTAATTGCTTTTATGAATAAGAAATATTATGGGTACTATTGTCTTAAGAAAAATTTTTTTTTTTTTTTTTTTTCGATGAATACTGAATTTTTACAAGAATTATTTTCAATTTTTAAAAATTTTAATTAGAATAATTTATAGTTTTAAATCTTCTAATTTTTGTATGACTTTATGCCAGTAAGGTGATATTGTTATTAAGTAAAAACTATATTTACTAATCATAAATGGAAAAGCTTACTACAATTCATTGAACACCAATATTTTAAAAAGAATTTTGAAATTTTTTTTTGTGTGTGTATAAATGTGCTGATTTTTGTAAATACAGACCTCCATACAAGATATCACAAAATAAGAGCGATAGCTATAGTATATTTAAAAACAAAGTACCTAAAATTCAATAAAACACTAGATTACAGAGAATATTTTTTTACATTTTTAAGCTTACTGGGTAGTTAGAAATTATATAAATAGATACTTGTGTTATATTCCTCAAGTAAATTTTACATATAGTGCCACTGTAGAAAAACATTAGATAAACTTCCAGCTGTCATTCAAGTTGTCAAACTCAAAACAGCTACCTCTGTGTTAAAAAATGCATTTCTGTGATATTTTAAAAGTAAGTAATATTTGTTCTGTTTGTATTTTTAGGCTAAAAATAACTACTGATAACATTATTGGAACATTCTAGAATATTCCACTTGAATAATCTAGAGTATTAAAGCAATTTAAAAGTTTTAAAATCTGAAATTTGTATGATTTATGCATCTGTAGTTAATTATATGAAAAGTATGCTTGTTTATTAGTTAGAAATACAATAAATTAAACATTTCTATGTGTATGAATATTTGTTTTCCCCTACTAATTATATATATATATATATATATATATATATATATATATATAATGTAAATATTAATATAAGTAAAAGTTTGTCACTTAGCTGATTGATGTTACCTTCAGCATCACAACTCCAGACTTTTTGTAGGCAAATTTGTCTGTCCATTCTTCAAGGGGTATCAGCAATTAACTGCTTATATTTAAAATTTTTTGTTCCTTTTTATATATATATATATATAGTGTATGTGTTAATCACTTGAAAATGTCAGGCATTACATTTCAGAAATCTCATCTGATATACCATTGTGAAAATGCATTTTGTGATTTTAAGTGAGTTAGTATATAAAGGAGCTTTTAGAATAGAAACTCTGGGAGAAACATCAGATAATACATGGCTCAGGCTAGCAGGATTTTTCTCCCTTTGTCTAACCTGTCTTTCGATAACAAAATAGATAGCATTGAAACAATTACAATGTTTTTTGGTATTATCAGTTGAAAATTTAAGTTAATACCATAAATTTAAAATTAGGATAACTTTACAATAATCCTGGTAAAACAGTGGATGGAAGATTTGTAATGAATTGGACACACAATGTCCAAAGCTCCAAAATGGCTTTCCTGAATAAAGTTTGAACTAAAATTAACCTGTTGAATATTAGACCTGATAGAACAATTAATGGTATCACATAGCAGTTTTTACTATATATTAGGATTTGAATAAATAAATCCCATTTAAAGTAAAATTAGTATTTATTTATTTTTTTAGTACAAAAGTTTGATTGTAGTTTATTAATTACTCCCTGAAGGTCAAATGTCAACAATATGGGCCCACTAGAATATTTTCTCAGCTTTTCAGTTTCAGAATGAAGAGCTTGTTCTGATAGAATTGTTTGCATATATTAATGCCTTTTTAATTTGCATTTATTTCATTTTATCTGTATGATAACATACAGTGGGAAATAATTGTTTTTAAATTTTTGTTTAAATAATATAAAAGAATTATTATTATTCCTCTCTCTTCTCCTTCCTGTTCATGTCTGCTTATTTCAATTGTACTTTTTAATTTTTGATTCATTTAAAAATATTTGCCCCATTTTTATTTATTAAACTGTACAAGGCCCAAGGGCCACTCAAGATAGAGGGTTACAAAATAAGAAGTAAGCTGCTCAGTTTATGGGGATATGTGAGGAAGATAATGGTTAACTCTAGACTTGAACAGGTTAAGATTGTAGTGTTTGAGGAAGAACCCTCTTTGTGGAACCAAATTCCACAAAGTAATGGTCTGTGAGAAGAAGCTGTTTGAGTGGAATAATAGAATACAAATAGAATGTGGATGGTTTGCTACAAATATGCATACCATGGCAGGTCTTAGCTGTGAAATTTAGAACTGGTAGAATGTAGTTTGTTTGAACACTTTCCATGGAGATGGCAATAAAGTAGGCTTATGATGTTTTGCCTGTTGGAAATGGTTGAAGGGTGGTAAATAATTTATCCTCCATAAGGCTGCAAAGATGTGTTTGGACACTCCCAAGATGGGTCAGCTCCTGCCCATATATGGCAGCAGTTATTTTTTTTTTCTCCACCCTTTTCTCTCTCTCTTTTCCCCTTTTCTCTCTCTTTTCCCCTTTTCTCTCTCTTTTCCCCTTTTCTCTCTCTCTCTCTCTTTTCCCCTTTTCCCCTTTTCTTTTTTTTTTGCCTTTCCCTTCTCTCTCTCTCTCTTGCCTTTTTATTCCCTTCCCTCTCTCTTGCCTTTTTATTCCCTTCCCTCTCTCTTGCCTTTTTGTCCTCCCCGTCTTCTTTTTCCTCCCATTTTTAGGACTTAGTATAAGCAAAACAGTTTTACCCCACCCCCAAACATCAGAATGACATTACTTGTAAAGTATATGAATGTAGGTAGAAAAGAAGCAAATGCTGATAAGATAGTGAAGGTACAAAGCAAGGCTTAGAAATGTTCAGAGATTGTATATGTACTGGCCCTGCACAAGGGGGTTACTGAGTTTGAAAGAATCTGAGAAAAACATTGAGAGAGAGGCATTTTTTTTTGCCTTTTTTATTCCTTCCTAATCTCTCTTCCTTTTTCTCTCCCTATTTCTCTCTTTTCCTCCCATTCTCTCCCTATTTCTCTCTTTTTACCCCAATTCTCTCCCTATTTCTCTCTATGATGTAGGTAATTCTCTCCAAATTCTCTCTCTCGTCCTAATTCTCTCCCTTTTCTCTCTCTCGTCCTAATTCTCTCCACAATTTCTCTCTGAGTTTGAATTCTCTCCCAAAACATTGCAGAGAGGCATTTTTTTTCTCTCCCTATTTCTCTCTTGTCCTAATTCTCTCCCTATTTCTCTCTCGTCCTAATTCTCTCCCTATTTCTCTCTCTCGTCCTAATTCTCTCCCTATTTCTCTCTCTCGTCCTAATTCTCTCCCTATTTCTCTCTCTCGTCCTAATTCTCTCCCTATTTCTCTCTCTCGTCCTAATTCTCTCCCTTTTTCTCTCTGTCCTAATTCTCTCCCTATTCTCTCTCTCTCCCTCTCTCTCTTTTCTCTCCCCTCTCTCTCTCTCCCCTCTCCCTCTCTCTCTCTCCCCTCTCTCTCTCTCTCCCCTCTCTCTCTCCCTCTCCCCTCTCTCTCTCCCCTCCGTCTCTCTCTCTCCCCTCTGTCTCTCTCTCCCCTCCCCTCTCTCTCTCTCTCTCCTCCTCCTCCCCCCCTCTCTCTCTCCCCTCCCTCTCTCCTCCCTATTTCTCTCTCTGTCTCTAAAAGAACAGAAATTAAAGAGATGGGACATGATGATTGAAATTGCATTTAAATTTTTGAAAATCAAAGTTAACTGGAAAACCAAGAGGATGTGATTTCTGCAAGCAAGAACTGGGTATGATGATCAACTACATCCAGCAGCATGGCCACTGATCTGGTGGTTTTGAGGAGCATGGGATCACCTCTTAATCGCTGTTGTTCCTAGGTCCACCCTAAACGGGGGGGGGGGTAGCACTTGTTAGGTTCCCAGCTATAGGCAAATAGTTAACACCCATGTGGTCAAAACACTATGAAAGTATAAAAATAGTTTTATAATATAAATACCAGCAATACATTTTTGAAAAAAAATGAAAATATTAATACATATTCTGTTCATACAAAACTATCTTAGAAATCTTGTCAGCATTAAATAACTCATTGAGGTTGTAAACCAAAACAAACGTTATTTTTTGATTACCCATGTTTGAGTAGATGCACTGATTTTTTAAACAGTGTGAATTATATCTGCTGGCCTATACATTCAACAAACTTTATAAAGAAAACAAGGAATACACCCAAATCAGGTTGGGTTGACCAGTTGTGATGTTTTTGGAGTATAGTGCTATATCAGTGAAGGGAGATAATTCCGTCAAAATGTTGCATATCCTTTTCTGAAACTGAATTTTTAAAAATTATTTTTCTATTAATTTGCATATAAATTTAAAGTATTATAAGTTCCAATGTCATCTTTTTTTTTTTTTTTTAAATTCTGTTTTAAACCTCATGTTAAGTCACCAAACAAAGATGGCACGAACAATTAGTGGAAGAGGCGGGAAAATGACTATAGATATTTACTCAGCTTAACCGTAGTCTTTGTCAAGTTCTTTTTATCTCTCCTCTCTGTTTTAATTTATTTGTCTCTCTAAAAATTCAGTGTTTATTAGCGATGTTAGGAAAGATTCTGAATGATATTAATACCCCTCTTCGATAACATCAAATGTTACAAAGCATACTTTATAACTAAGGTAGTGGCACATTTCATGTTTTCACAAATGGTCTATACTCTTAGGAGAGGCACTTGATAATCAGGGAGGTTGGAATTTTTCTCTATGTGATACGCAGGAGGGGGTTTTAGTAAGTGGGGGGAGGTGAAAGTAATTGAAAGAGTCAGAAAGTACGAAAATAAATGGGGATAGTTTTAATAAGCTTGGTAGGGTTAGAAAATTTCCTTTTTGTCTAAAAAGAAAAAAAAGCCCCCCCCCCTCCCGGTGGAATCGTAATACTTTTTTCTCAACAACCCCCCTCCTCTCTCCCTCAAGGCAGATGCACCCTCCTCTGTCTAAGTGGTTGGTGCAATACAATCTTCTTGATATTTATTCCCCTCACCCATATTTTTATTTGGTGTTATACTAGATCAAAGTGTTATGTATCAGCTGTCACAAAAATTTGATCTATTTTATTTTTTTTTATTTATTTATTTATTTTATCGGTCAAATTAACATTTGTTTTTATTTTTGAAAATTTTGTTGCTTGTAGCTCTGTTGTGTGCTGCATGACTGTTCAGAATGTCAGTATTTGTCTTGCTTGCCAGGGGCCAGTTTCCATTCGGAACAACAAAAAGATGCTGGTGTCAGCTTAGTGGAACATGAAGATGTTTCTGCCGCTCCTGCCACAACACCTGCAGGTGAGAAATTGTGCTTTTGCTTGTTAGTTCTTTTCATTGTCATTCTCGTTTTTCATTGTCTGGCTCACAAATTTATTATTTGCCTTTCTGAAAATTAATGGTTCTAGCAACAGTTTCAAATAGTTAAATTCTCGTCTCGTAACAAAGTGTCTTGTGACTTGGCTCTTTATGTATGAAGGAAGCAACTGAATGTAAAAATAGCTTTCTTTTTCTTTTTTTTTTATCATTTCACCCTAAGCAAGGCAACAAAGCGACTAACACTCGGGGGTTACTGAATGTGAAAGAATATAAAAAAAAAAACCTTATTAAGGAGTGAGAACAATAAAATAACAGAAATTGAGAAGACAAGATAATGATTGACATTGCATTTAAATTTTTGAAGATCAAACTTTACCGGAAAGTAAGAAGCTGGTAGAGTTCCACAAGGAAGAAGTATGAGAGAAGAAACTATTAGCATAGAACTTACGGTTCCATCTAACCATTTCAACTGTAAAATGAGACCTTGCCACCAATCTAGTACTGCACTTAAATTCATAAAGTCTAGGTACCATAGAGGAGAGTTCATCAAAACAATTATCATGAAAGTATTTATACAAAAGGTACAGGAAATCTACATTATAACGGTGGGAAAGTGACTGAATCTAAGATGCCAGGTTAGGACTGATAACATTGCATATTATTTGGATTTTATTAAGGATTTATAAATATATAGGAGCACTAGGCCAGATGTGGCATAATTTCACAGTGAAGGCTTGTATTTGTACTAAGTCAGTCCTAAAATAGGTTCTTTGTACAAAACGTTAGGAACTTGATATAATAGGTATAACGCAGAGTAATCTAGTTGTGGTTGCTGATACTTTAGTATTCGACTCACTGACGTCCGACATCGACTGACTGACCGCCTCACTGAGCGACTCCCTCGTTACTCTTACTACTACTACTTATTATAGGTGGGAGAGTCTGTTAACTATAGAATAGGTGTGTTCCACTATAACAGATATTCAAAGCATGGACAAATGATAGACTTATAAATGTGTAAGATAGATACTAGAGAGGAAAAGTGTTTAGCTCAACACAGTGAACCAACTTTCCTAGCTGTAAACCTAGCAATGGATTCAATATAACCTTTCTACTTCATGTCAGCAGAAAGTGTTAGCCTGAAAAGGTGGAATGAGTTACTCTCCTCGTGGTTGGCATTAGTGAAGCTGATGGAAGACAGAAGGGATTCGTTCAGACAATAGAGAACACTTACAAATTTTATGGAGTAGCACTTATAATGAAAGAATGACGTACCTGCTGAATGGATAACTTAAAATATTCCCATAAAGGGTTTATATAAGGTTAGATTATAGCGTCTACCTTTTTTTTTTTCTTTGTGTCATGTCCTTTCAGGACGTAGGTGATCATGGCTCTCCACCTCCCTCTATCCATTGCAGCTCTCAACAAGTTCCTTCCCTCTACTTCCTCCCCCAGACCACGTTCTGTCATCCACCTGCTCAAGCACGTCAGGTATGTCACGTGCTGCGTTCCCTTGTCTCTTTCTTCCTTCTAGTAGTGTTTGGGAAGAAAGAAACTTTACAAATTCATATGAATTGAGATTTGGTAAAATGAACAGATCCAAATATATTTATTGAAACAGATTCTGTTGGTAGTTCATTTTCAGATAGAATAGAAACATGTTTTTGTTTAAAATTATTAAGATTACAGTATCCCTGCTGGGTGGGGCTTATGGTGATATCCTGTTGAAATGCTGGTTTGCATACAGTCACTGAAGTTAAACACCAATGAGCCTGGTCAATACCTAGGTGGGTGACCCACTTGGGAATACCAACTGTTGTAAGTGTGGCTTATGGCCACTTCATGTTGAAACATCGGTTCTCATATGATCACCAAAGTTAAGAAACAATGAGCTTGGTCAGTACCTAGATGGGTGACCACTTGGGAATACCAGCTGCTGTAAGCTTGGATGTGTAGGTGGTATGGCTGATGGCCATATCATATCATATGAGGAAACACTGGTTCCCATACAGTAACCAAAAGAAATGTCAAGCCTGGTCAGTATCTAGATGGGTGACTTCTTAGGAATACCAGGTACTGTAAGCTTGGTTGTGTGGGTGATATGGCTTATTGTATAATGGATAATGGCTGGGAATTGGAAGCCAGAGATCCATGTTTCAATTCCAGTTGGGCTTGTTATATTTGCTTGTGTGTGGGGTAGGAGTTCACCTCTTCTCCCCCACTTTTATGAGTTGTTTGATAGGACTTGTCCCAGTAAATCATTATCTTCAATAAATTCTTACATTCTAAAAATATTTTCTGGTTTTTAGATAATTTGCAAAAAGATGAGCTGTAAAAAAAAAACAATAAAATCAATCAACAGCTGAGTGAATACCAACTTGAAATAGGGTTTGATTAAGTTATAGTTTGTAGTGAAAGATAGGAATTGCTCAGCATTTAAAACCTCAATATGTCAGGTATAAATATAAAGGACAATTGATCGAGTAGTCATTCTGTGTGATAATATGAGTAGCAGTCAGATTTCAGTCATTCAGTCAGTCATTAAGAAATCTTCGTGTGTCTCATCTATTCTCTGTTGTATGAGAATTGCTTCATAAATGGAATATAAAAAAAAGGGAAAAACAATTTTTGTAAAATATTTCGGCAAATTCTGTACACTTTTTCTTTTCTTTTCTTTTTTCTTTTCTTTTTTTCTTTTCTTTTTTCTTTTCTTTTTTTTTTCTTTTTTTTTTTTTTTTTTTTTTTTTTTTTTTTTTTTTTTTTTTTTTCTTTTTCTTTTTTTTTTTTCTTTTTTCTTTTTTTTTTTTTCTTTGCTTTTTTTTTTTTTTTTTTTTTTTTCTTTTCTTTTTTTTTGCTTTTCTTTTTTTTTTTTTTTTTTTTTTTTTTTTTTTCTTTTTCTTTTCTTTTCTTTTTTTTTTTTTTCTTTTTTTTTTTTTTTTTTTTTTTTCTTTTTTTTTTTTTTCTTTTTTTTTCTCTTCCTTATTTTAATATTTTTGCAAGGCCAAATTTTCACTCCTTTAACCTTTCACAATGCAATAAAAAAAAAGGTAGGGTAATGATAGGAATTAAGAGAACTTTTGGTGTGTGTGTGGAGGGGGATTCAGGAATTACCAGTGGTAAGTGTCCAGACTTGAAAGAAATTTTTAATGATTTTTAATTCATCTGGACAGGTGGTAACAAATTACTTGACATTTCTTTGTGAACAGGTAACAACAATAGCAAGATAATGAAAAGTAAAAACTTTGGCTAATTTCCTGATATTTGCATTCAATTATTGATTAGAATGAAAATTATATTTTTATGTTAATAAGACCTTCAATTTATATACTCAGCATTGTTATGCTGAAATAAACATTGAAGCAATTATTTCAGTAAAGAATGATGAATTAATAGATAGGAAAAATGTGAGATTTTGTTTTTGTCATAAGAATTAACTTCCCTTGATTTGGACACTTCCATCTAACTTCTTGCTGTAAACTATATACATATCCTCTTTTATTTGTATTCTATGTATTCATATTTGCTATTAGCCCCATCATGGACTATTCTGTTTATTAAAGCTTTCCTTTGTCAAGATACTGATTTAATTCTGTTTCTTATTACGGAATAATTCTTATTATTGCATGTGTATTAAAAAATATATTATTTGAAAGGTTATAGAATACAAATTTCTTTTTTATTTGATTCTAATAATTACCACAGTAAATATTGCTATTGAAGATAGCTCCTGCTTTTGTCATATTTTTTTAAAATTTATGGAATGGAAGGCTGGCTACCATCGAGATCATAATCATTGTGAACACCATGAGCTGTTCCTTAGCTGCATAGTATATACTTCGCCAGGGCTATATATGGTTTTTAAATTCAGAGTTGTTCTTCTCCTAAATGGATTGCCAACCAAGCCTGAAGAGTCAAGTTTGCTTTACTATTTAACCTATAGCTTGATGGGAAAAGGTAAATTCATATCTTTTCTCAAAGGTATTTGCCTGAATGTGATGAAATTTGACTGGAATGTGAACTCGGCTCTCTGATTTTTCATTCTGAGTTGCCATTCATTGCACCATCCACACATCCAATGATTGTATTATCAAATAATAATTTTTTTTTTTTTTTTTTTTCATTAAAAAAGAATTGCCATCTGTTCCCTGTTATCATCATCTTCACTATAAATACTTTTATTGAATGAGAGCACCATGCCAATAAAAAGTGGGGGGGGGGGGGGTACAAATATATGAAGTTCTATATACCATCATGGTGCCCAGTTTGATAAGGGTTTAATAGACCTATTGCATTATAGCCAAATATTCATGACTGGTAACAGCTTTTGATAAAAGTAGCACATAAACTTTCAGGTAGGGCCCAACAAGAAATACCTTCCGGTTGGGTAACCCAATCTGCTCAGACTATGGGAACATTCTCTGATTGAGGATGTTCCCAAGTACCTAGATGTGACTCCTGTCACCTTGGCTGTCTCCTCCTTCAAACCTAGTTTTGTTAAATCTTATTGTTTTAAAAATTAACTAAAACTCTGACTAAAGTCACAAAACAAAGATGACATAAGAGGTGGCAAAAATGACAACGGATTTGTTCACTGTTTAATTATTGACACTTTTTTTTCCCTTCAAGCAAGGCAAAAAAGCCACTAAGATGCAAAAGGTTACCGAGTGAATAAATATAAGAAAAAGAAAAACATTATTAAAGAGAGAGAACAATAAAAGAACAGGAGTTAAGAAGACAAAAGATAACGATTGACATCAAAGTTGACTGTAAAGCAAGAAGCCAGAAGAGTTCCACAAGTGAGAAGTGCAATAGAAGAAACTGTTAGCATAGAACTTATAGTTACATCTAGCCCAATTCAACGTTAAAATGATAAGACCTTATTGCCAATCTAGTACTGCACTTACCTTCATAAAATTTAGGTACTACGGAGGAAATCTCATCAACAATTACCATTAAAATACATAGTAAAAGCACGGGGAAACTACATTATGCTGGTGGGAAACTGAAGCTGAGATGTCAGAACCGATAACATTGAATTTTATCAAGAATCTCTAAATATATGGCAGAAACACCAGACCGTATGCGATTGCAATGCATGGATGAATGGTAGACTTATAAACTTCTGTAATGAAATGGTTGACAGTGTCACCTGAGATGTAGAATGAGTTCATGTTACTTTATTTTTCATTTTATGCTGTTTGATGCATATCAGTGTTTGTGATTTTTAAGAGGATAAGTAGTGATAAAATAATGAATTGAATACTTCATCTAAAAAAAGAATTTTATTTATTTATTTATTTTTTTTTTTTTTTTAAATGATCTACTTGTTGCTCTCTTTACTTTATATTCTTTTCTTCAAATAATATTTCTTAAATTGAATCATATTCTTAAAGAGTCTAGCTCTTGATCTATTGTTCACCACTTTGAAAATTAATTTTTATTTCTTTTTTCCACTTCTTTTTCTATTAAAAAGATTACAAAAATATACTAAATATACTTAAATGCCTGTCATTATAAGAAAATGTCATATATTTTGATGCTATTGTGACATATCAATAAGATCTTTGTTCTTTTGACAAAGATAACTGACAATTTATCACTTTTAGAATACTTAAAAAAAATCAGTTGTTGGGCAGTCTGGTCAGATGTTTCATTTCCCAAATTCTGTGAGTATCTTTGGGAGCACATTTTATATCTGGCATTATAGAATCTGAAAGAAAAACTATAACTGAATTGTACTGATTAGTTATATATTGTCAACCATCTGTATGTGTGTGTGTGTATATATATATATATATATATATATATATATATAGTTTTAAAAACAAGGAATGCATTGATTTTAATTTTAAAAGTCTCTAGGGCCCTTTCAGCCAACATCTCATCAGGAGACAATCGTTGGATTAGCGAAAAGAATATTAACGATAATGAAGAGCAAAAAGATCCAGGGGCCTTCTAAATGTCCGGTTTATTTGAAGATTCCCTGGATTGGGGATAGGGGTCAGGGCTTAATTAAGCAGGTTAGCAAGTCGGTTTCCGGTTGTTTCCCATCAGTTGCTTTACGTAGCATTTTTCGAACTAGGTCTGCGTTTCCGTCTTTTTCGCAAGGATGTATTGCCCTACATCAAATTGAGTAATTTAGTATATGAATTTAATTGCCAGTGTGCTGCTGGTTATGTGGGGCGTACAACCTTGCATTTGGAAACTAGAATCAATCAGCACATACCTTCCAAAATACGACTTGGTAAGATAGATAGAATATGCTATCTTCCCCCATGAATATGGAATCGCTATTGCTCAACATTTAGTTGAGAATATAGCCTCGCCAAGTTGTTTAAAAAGAGTGGTTTAAAATTATTCATACAGCCGATTCCAACAATCATTTGAAGATTTTGGAATCGGTCTGCATAGGATTAAGGAAACCTTTTCTCTGCTGGCAGAAAGAATTTGTAAAGTCTCTTAATCTGTTGGGGGATATTTTATTTTAACTGTCCCTCGCTAATTTATTTACATGATTATTTCCCCTCCCCTCGTTACAAGTATATATACTTGTTTGTTATTTTAGTGTGTTTCCCCCTCTTTTTGCTCTTCATTATTGTTAATATTCTTTTCGCTAATCCAACGATTGTCTCCTGATGAGATTTTGGCTGAAAGGGCCCTAGAGACTTTTAAAATTAAAATCAATGCATTCCTTGTTTTTAAAACTATATATAAATTTTGTACCTCCAAACATTTTTATATATATATATATATATATATATATATAAAAATGTCTGTGTGTGTTATGGCAAATGTAGAAAAAAAATCTCAACTTTTCTGATCTGATGATCCATAGGTGAAATGATGGTAGTGGTAAGATTTGGATGTTTTATAATTTAGAAAAAGTTTAAGTTGCTCTGTATTTTCTATTTTTTAAAGTACATTAAACAATTTTTTATCTGTATAACTGTTTTTCTCAAAACAGCACATGATTGGCTTGCTATTTCTGTTGTATTTTATTACAAATTTTGTGTGCATAGATATTATAATAATAATACAAATATGCAATTTGATGCTTAACTGATGGAAGTGTCATAATCTTTAGGGCTGTACATGAAATAAGCTTTAGAGTTCAGTTAAAAAACATAAAGAATGTAAATACTTTTGTTTTATATATATATATGTAATATTTTTATTTTAAAAAATATTTTACATTGCTACATAAAAAGTTTGATGTTTCGAAACTTAAAATTGTACCATCATCAGGCGATGTTACGTAACTTATGATGAAAATGATTTACTTTTGAAAACAGAAAACAATACGGCAGCTTATTTAAGAGTTAAAAAGGAGCGGGGGAATAAGATTTCCAAATTTTGTGGGTATGTCCAGGGTAACCAATCAAAAGATGGGTCAAGGCAAAAGCAGAAAAGTGAGAAATATAGGTTGGAGTTTAGAAGTAGGTGTGTTATTCATTCATGTCTAGATGGATTGAAATTTTTAAGACGTGTCACCATTAGCTGACATCTGATTATGAACGTAAATTTAAGATACATTGAAGTAGTCAGAGAGATATATTTAAGAAAAGGTTAATTTTAAAGAATTTCAAGATTTTATTTTTTTTTTTTAAATATTTTTGTATATACTCAAGAACTATCTTAAAGGGGCCTCTTGTATGATTAAATTATTTTTATATATATTAAAAAACATACAATACTTATGTCAATGGCCAATAAAACATGGCAATATTAAAAAAAAAAAAAAAATCAAAATTAAATTTATATATATATATATATATATATATATATATATATATATATATATATATATATATATATATATATATATAATGTTAGTCTTTAGATGTGTACATGAAATAAATTTTGGTTTAAAGATCTGCATAAAAATGAAAAAGAAAAATTGGTATTTTCTAATAAATATATAAAATGTTGTTTGACAGTAATTTTAGTATAATATTTGGTTGTAATTTTATCATAAAAAAGGTGTACAATAATTTCCAGTCAGTTTTTTGGTTTTGTTATAAGCTTAGTTTTCTTAATGGCTTTTCACGGCCATTGACCTTCATACATTTTTTTTTCTCACTCACACATTCGCTCAATATATTGAGAGCTTACAAGACAGTCTCTTCAAACCAGTATATATGAGAAGCCTAATCATAAATAGTTTTAAGGATTATTTGTTTATAACTTGGCAAAAGATAGATAGAAATAAATTTAACTCAACTCCTAAGTGTGATTCAAATAAGATAGACAAACAAACATTTTACCTGTGTCAAGTAGTTGGGAAAATTTCCATCAACAACTCTTCTTTTTTTTTTTTTTCTTTTTAACCTTTTCACCCCAAGCAAGGCAATAGTGCCACTAAGACACAAGAGTTTACTGGGGGTGAAAGAAAATTAGTATACTTCAGAAGGAACTTGAAGCCCAATCCTAAACAGGAAACAAGTGATAAACTGCTATTCCTGTTCAAAAGACAGGAAATTAATGTAAATCTGGCAATAGACAAACCTATCTACCACTACTGAATGTACAATAATTACATTATTATTATTGGTCTGAATTGATCACATTCAGCTTAAGAGTTATAGTTAACAGTTGGATAATTTTTTCAGCTTTCTCTTTTAGCTTTTAATTTGTAAAATTTATAAAAGTAAGAATTTTACTCATCTTCCCATACATAGTCTGAATAGTGTTATTCACATATTCTACATTGTATAGTTAGTATCCTATTATTAAAGAAGGAAATTACTGGAAAGTAATTGAAACTCACCTGAAGCGAGCTGAATCTATAATGCTCCTCATGCCAATGACACTTCCACCGAGCTTCTCTACGGCATATGATTTCACTGAATTTTGATGTGTTCTTCTCGAATTTTAAACTGGGGTCATCAGGAGAGAATGTGCACCGTTTCGGGGCCTTCCTCTCAAGAATTGTATATATAATATATAATTATATATTAAGCTTGCCAATTGCTTAATGAAATAAATACAGATACCTAGTGAGGATTGAATTCCCTACCTGTCAGATTCTGGAAACTTCCAAAGAGAATTGAACTCCTAAAGTTGACTATTGCTCTACGCCTTGTGCTCTTGTAATGGGCAGTTAGGGAGATTTTAATGAGTTTAACATAACAGACACTCTTTAAAATTTACTTATTAAATTTATTAGCATATTAAATTTAAAATGAAAGTCTGTTGAAGGAGAGAATATTATGTCTATTAAAATACATTGAAAAATGCATATATCTTGCAAGTGATTGATAGCAAGTTTGATCTTAAAGTGTTTCAAAAACTCAATCTAATAGAAGAGTTATGTGTTTGTGTATATCAAAAAACAAAATATGTTGGTGACATTATAAACTTTTTTTTTTGTGGCACTGTTAATATAACAAATCTTACAAATATGCGATAAAATGAGTCTTTTTGAATTTTTTTTATTTGTGTTTGTAATAATGAAGGTGCTGAAAAATTCTGGAAAAAATGATTGTTATTTCGTCATTTTGGGGAATGGGTCGGATTGACAATTTTTTAGCACCCCTTGGATATATAATGTCCAATCGTATTTATTTACACTATTTACATTTTTCATTTTTACTGTGACATTCACAATGTTTTGGCTGTTGTACACTACAGCTTTCTTCAGGTGATATTTATTGGAATTTTGAACCAAGCTATTTATTTAGTTCACAGTGGTAGATTGTTCTAGTGCCATGTCTTTGGATATCTTAGTTTTAATTTGACTTTCCAAATTTTTGTTTTCTTTGCTGAGGCCAGGGATTGAGTTCATAACTCTTTGGGCCAAATCACTTTTTGCATCAATCAACCAACACTTTTATGCATTGGGCCATGTGTCCTTGAGGACATATTTGAGATATATATATAAAATTTCTTTGTGCTCTAATTAAATCATTGAAAAGTTGAATTTTATGAAGTGACAGGCTGTTTTGTTTCTGACCGTCAATACTGCTCCCCACATACCAAAAAAAAAAAAAAGATTTAAAATGTCTATTAATTCTATTCATAATATAATTGGTAATCCAGTTTGTGTCTAAATGTTTGAATTCTGATCTGTTTAGTGATGAAATGATTTAGTCATATTGTTAGATAAATTTTACTTGTAAAAATATCTGTGTATAAACTGGAGATAATCCAATATAAAAAAAAAATGAACGATATTAATAATGAAAAGTGTTGTAATGAAAATATAACAATAAATGCAGGCATTAAAAAACAAAAACAATTCATAACAAAAAGAGGAGTGTATATATATATATATATATATATATATATATATATATATATATATATATATAAGGGTAATACTGAAATATAACAATGATAAAACAAAAACAGCTAAACCAGACAAAAATGTGCACAACGATTTTTTCCTCTGTCTGTCCCTCAAGATATATATATATATATATATCTGTGTGTGTGTGGTGGACTCTCTGTTGTATTCGACGTATGAGGGTCAGCAACTCGGTTCCTAGGAACCAAAAGCCAGACACTAGCACATGATTTGATTATAGGGGTGAAGGTTTTCTGTGGAGCCAACCACTCCTTTTTGAAGGGCTGAATACAGAGACCTGGTGCACTGTGCTCAAGGTCCCCAAACGACCCTTGAAAGGTTTCGAATTCAGTGTTGTCCTTCTCCTAGACCAGTTGCCATCCAATGCTATAGAACCCAGTCTGTTCTGCTAATCCAGTATTACTATTTTCTGGTAAAATATATATTTTTGTTAACCTCTCTCTTTTATTGTGAATTGTGTTTTTAATGTTTATTTTTATTGCTCTAATGAAAAAAGAATTCCTTTGAACTATTTTGTTATCTTTAATAAAAATCATTTTATTTTTAACATGTGCACATTGTAAGCAAACACAACAATAAAGTGCCTATTAATAAAAATCAGTTGGTTATTAAAAATTGTCACTTTTTCATTATTATAAATAATCAATCATAAGTTGAGTTATTTTTGACAAAATTTTTTTGTATAAATTGTTTTTGAATGAAATATTTTTATTGTAGGAGGAAGCACTTCATTATCTGGTGGAGAGGAACCCGACCAAGAAGTAGCTGTGATAACAACAACAACAACAACTGTGATACATGAAAATAGAGGTAGTGACAATAGCACGAGCAAGGTGGGAGGCCCCGCAGCCAGTTGTTTGCCTCAAGTACAAGCGGATTCCATCCTTGATAATATCAGCTTGGAGAAATCTGATCTGGAAAATTCCAATAGAAGTAGGTTTTCTTTGGTTTTTCTTTTCTTTGTTCTTTTCTTTTCTTTGGTTTTTCTTTTCTTTGTTCTTTTCTTTTCTTTGGTTTTTCTTTTCTTTGTTCTTTTCTTTTCTTTGGTTTTTCTTTTCTTTGTTCTTTTCTTTTCTTTGTTTTTTCTTTTCTTTTGTTCTTTTCTTTTCTTTGGTTTTTCTTTTCTTTGGTTTTTCTTTTCTTTGGTTTTTCTTTTCTTTGTTCTTTGTTCTTTTCTTTGTTCTTTGTTTTTCTTTTCTTTGTTTTTTTTTCTTTGGTTTTCTTTTCTTTGGTTTTTCTTTTCTTTGGTTTTTCTTTTCTTTGGTTTTTCTTTTCTTTGGTTTTTCTTTTCTTTGTTCTTTGTTCTTTTCTTTGTTCTTTGTTCTTTTCTTTGTTCTTTGTTCTTTTCTTTGTTCTTTGTTCTTTTCTTTGTTCTTTGTTCTTTTCTTTGTTCTTTTCTTTGTTCTTTGTTCTTTTCTTTGTTCTTTGTTCTTTTCTTTGTTCTTTGTTCTTTTCTTTGTTCTTTGTTCTTTTCTTTGTTCTTTGTTCTTTTCTTTGTTCTTTGTTCTTTTCTTTGTTCTTTGTTCTTTTCTTTGTTCTTTTCTTTTTCTTTGTTCTTTGTTTTTTTCTTTGTTCTTTTCTTTTTTCTTTGTTCTTTTCTTTTTTCTTTGTTCTTTTCTTTTTTCTTTGTTCTTTTCTTTTTTCCTTTGTTCTTTTCTTTTCTTTGTTCTTTTCTTTTCTTTTCTTTCTTTTCTTTTCTTTTCTTTCTTTTCTTTTCTTTTCTTTCTTTGTTCTTTTCTTTTCTTTTCTTTCTTTGTTCTTTTCTTTTCTTTCTTTGTTCTTTTCTTTTCTTTCTTTGTTCTTTTCTTTTCTTTTCTTTCTTTGTTCTTTTCTTTTCTTTTCTTTCTTTGTTCTTTTCTTTTCTTTTCTTTCTTTGTTCTTTTCTTTTCTTTTCTTTCTTTGTTCTTTTCTTTTCTTTTCTTTCTTTGTTCTTTTCTTTTCTTTTCTTTCTTTGTTCTTTTCTTCTGTCTGTCTTTTTTTTGTTTATCCAATAGTGATATGCTTATATTTACACTTATTCATATGCATTAATTTATCATTTAAAACCTGAGATAAAGTTTCTGTAGATAAGAGTGAGGGTATGCTAAAAAAGTTATTAGGCTCCTGAGATATATATAGTCCTTCCTGAAATATATATATATATATATATATATATATATAAATTTCCCTTTATTAAAATTAAGATTAAATTTTAAAACTCTGTTTCATGTTTTTTTTTATTTGAACAATTTTCTATAGCAAAAAAATGTATTTGAGCCTATATTTGGGATTTTATTTTTCATTAATGGTTAGAAGGAAAAGTTATAGGTTGTTATGAAATATATAAAATAATATTTGTTGATTTTCTCTCAAAAGCTAAACTGTTTTACTTTCATATATATATATATATATATATATATATATGAAAATGCAAGGAAAGCCTTCTTCTTTTAAGGATCCTTTTCAACCAACACTTTGTCATAATAATCCGTTAGTAAATATCAAATTGACAGAATAACAATTTGCACTGCAAGAAAAGAAAAATATAGGGAGGAGAAAAAAGGAACCATGACTAAAATACAAATTACACTCACTAGGAACCCTTTTATGTTGCGTCTTTTGCCAGTATATAATTTATTTTCTTTGCTCTTGGTTTTATTAATAAATTTGTATTTTAGTTGTGGTTCTTTTTTTTTTTTTTTCTCCTCCTTAGATTTTTCTTTTCTCATAATGTGAATTGTTATTCTGTTAGTATTTACCAATGTATTCTTCTGACAAAATGTTGATCAAACTTGTTTTATCTATCATATATATATATATATATATATATATATATATATATATATATATATATATATATATATATATAGCCTGAAGATTGCATTTGAGCATGAAGCATACTGTCCTCACTGGGTGTTGACCTCAATGTCCACTTTTATATTTACATATGCCTTATCCCTGATATTGAGCACTTTAACCCATGAATATAGCATACCTTAAAACTATATTTTTATAATATATATAAGATAAGGGAGAGGTTATAGTTGTTCCAGCGAGAGAAAAGTGTATATTTTAAAGAGGAGAGAGAAGCCGCAAACATTTTTGGTTATAATGTGGATTTTTATAAAATATATATTATACTTTATTTTCCATATTTTTTTATTTTTTTATTTTTTTTTTTTTTGCTACATGTGTTTTGGATCTTGTGACCTTCATTGGGCAAAGTGTGGTTATTTCCACATATTATTTAAAGGAATTAATTTTTTCCTTATGTTTTCCCCTGTTTAACCAACCATTGTCTTTTGTGTGTAGTAGTAATCCATATATAATATACACACTTTTTATAATTACCATGTTACCTGCCATATAAGCCCCCCTCCCCTCGCCTGAAAAAATAAACCAACAACTACATAATATATGACAAAGATCATGATGAAAGGTTGAGGTATCTTACCCACATCACCTTGGTGTGGGGTAAAGGTTAATAAGGTTGTCCTGGATGACCATTATGGCCGAGTAATGGCCAACTAGTCTTCTATCCTTATTAAGTATCCCATACAAAATTTGATACTAAATAACCTAACAAGACTTAACATTTTATAAATTCAACCAACCATCCAACCAACCTACCTACCTTAAGTTAACCTGTTCTTATAAAATTAAAGATATCCTTCACATTATATGGCAGAAAATTAACTGTTATAAATTTATATGCCTTGTACAAATTGTATGAATTTTTAAAAGAAATCTTTTTTTATTGAACTGAGTGATTTAAATGTGATTTGTTTTTTTTGTTTTTTTCTTTTAGTATCCAGAACTCCATCTCCAGTGTCCACTCACTCAAAATCTGATTCCCGCAGTCAGTCTCCTGCAAGTGAATTGGCTGTAGAACTAAATCAAAAAGACAGCCCTACTCCAGATCGTGACAGCTTGCACATTGATGTAGTTGCTGGCTCTGGAGCTGAAGAAGCTCCAATGAACAGAAGTAGATAATATTTCATGATTTTTTTTTTTTTTTTTATATATATATAAAGCAGTGGTTCCCATACTTTTTTCTGGGTCACTTTTGCAGAATGAAAATTTGCTTACACTTCACCAAATTTTATGTGGTAAAAAGTACATTTAAAAATAAAAAAAAAGAAAAAAAGAGAGAGGTTAAAGGGAAATAAATGCAGAATCGAAGTCAAAACATTATCATTGATAACTCACTTCTCCAATTTGCAGACTCCAGTTAATATATACTTAATACTTTGTATAATGCAAAAATATCATTATGATAAAATTGGTCAGTAATTATTTATAAGTATTTATACTGGGACTCATGCATGTAATTACAAGTAATTCATAATAATATTTTAAATTTTGAAGTCCTATTTATTTTTGGCATATAAATTTTAAAACTGTTTCTAAATTTTTGATTCTCTTTCAATCATTCCATCTCACCTGCTATCCTCTTCTGCTGCACCATTTGGGAACCACTGAATTAAAGTAATGCTTAATGTTGAAGAGAATGCTGAAATTTTAAATTTGTAAATTATATATATATATATATATATATATATATATATATATATATATATAAAACAATGCCGATTTAAAAAAAACAAAAAAAAAAACCCTGATCTAAGCAGGTGAATATTGAATGAAACCGTAGACTTTTGTTTTGCTTGATGTATTATAATAAATAATAATTTATTGAATGATATTTGGGTGAATTATTTTTTATTCTTTCATGAATAATAATTACAATAAATTTTCAGATGTGTGTAAATTGCGACATTCATCTAACAGACATAAGTTGGTAAAATATTCTAATTAGAGCTTTTCATTCATACTTCAAGCAATGTCTGTTTTAACAGTGCACAAATTTTGTGAACAAATTAGACATAACAATATTTGGTCTAAAAAAAATACCAGAGAAAAAATGTTTTTTTTTCTTTGTGGAATTGTTGGCTTAAAAAGAAATGTTGACTAGCAACTGAACCCTCTACCCCACCCCAAGAAAAACCCTTTGTGTTAAATATTCAAGTATGATTTTTTTTTTTTTTTTTTTGCTGTAAATGTTACCCTGTTATATTTCAGGTTCAATGCCAGGAGCTGATAATGGTGAGGAGTATAAGAGTGTATTAGCTGGGGGTTATGTCATGGGGTGGACACCAGATGTTGCTGTGGTATTATGGCGAAGAATGCTTGGTGTTCTTGGCAATGTCAATGAAATTGAAGATCCTGAAATACATACTTCTGTTTATAAATGCCTCTATGGACTCATGGAAACCATGATCAAGGTAAACATTGCAAACATTGATTAAAATCATTGCTCACGATTATTCATTATAGTCTTCTATTAGATAAGGACAATTGTTATTTTGAATTTTATTAGATGGAGTCTTGCTAACCAACAAATTTTTTACTTATCTTTTCATCTTAATTTCATTTGCTTTTTATTACATTAGTAGTATTAGTAGTAATATTATCTTGAATTTTATTATTATTAGATAATGCATTGTCAGCCATTATTCATTTTTGACTAGGATTTCTTTCATCTTAATGTCACTTGCTTTTTATTACATTAGTTGTATTATTAGTAACATTATCTTGAATTTTATTCTTATTAGATGAAGCATTGTCAACCATTATTTATTTTTGACTATGATTCCTTTTATATTAATTTCACTTGCTTTTTATTACATACTAGAATTTTTTTGCAACACACATCAGTGTGTTGAAATCCTCACAGTATTTAGTATTGTTGAAGTTATCGCTAACATTTTTTGTTGAGATCTACAAACTCTACGTTTTTTTCAAATTTGCAAACCAATTGACAAAATTTTAATAAACTGATTTGACAAAAACCCTCCTTTGTGGTTTAATAATTTTGTAAACGCAGAGAGGAGTGTAAACTGAATTATTGTGTGTGTGTATATACACACACACACTCTTTACATTTTTCGGACTATTGTCCTCATCTTTGTTGCCATATTTATCACAACATTTTGGCTGTTGTATGTTCTGGCCTTCTTCAGGTGGTTGGAATGTTGAACTGAACCCTTTATTTTGCTCGCTGGGGTAGACTGTTCTAGTTCCACATGTCATATCTAATGGATGTCAGTTATCAGTTATCTCCTGTTAATTCCCCTCTCCAAGTTCTCCACTGCCTTAACCAGGTATTGAACTCACACTCTTTGGGTCCTGATCAGTTTATGGATATTTTAGTGGGTATGACAGAAGTCTCAGAATTTTATATATAGATTTACTCTATGGCAACCATATTTGTTTACATCTCTGAATTATCTATAGTATACCCAAAGTTAATTTAATATTGTCTATTGCTGAAAAAGTAACAATGGGCAGCTGATAAATTGCTATATTTCTTTTAATATTAAATGTACACTTATTAGATTTTTAGTGATTATTTCTAATTTATCATTTTCAAATTCAGTTAAATTAAAACCATGAGAGAGTTTATGTAAGTGATATTTTCTTTATTATAAACAAAACTGATTCAAAGTTGGAAGCTGCTCTTGATTTATCACAATTTTCTTTATTTTGGATTTTTGTTAAAAAAAAAAAAAATTCCTTTTTCAGCCTCAGTGAATCTCTTTTCTCAAAATGTTTTATTCTATATCAGTTAAAAAGAGGAATACAAATTTTAAAACACAGACCAGGTTTATTTTTTTTATTTACCTATTTCCATAGCTTCTGACTTTTTTTTTGTTTTTAAGGCTGAGGATGGTAAATGTTTTTATAATTAAATTACATTGAAATTGCTTGAATAATTTAAAGTATCTTGTCATTTTTTTCCCCTTTTAATGTTATCAATGTTTTCACTTGATATAAAAATGAATTCATTTTCTTTTATTTGTCTTTGGCTTTTTTAAGTAATTTTTCTATAGCAAATTACAGTTTTAAGTTCTGTGTAAAATAATCTGAGATCCTGTATTGATATGGTTTCTGTATCTTTGTTACTAGAAACAGCACATTCTAGCACAAATTTTGTTAGCTCAATTCTGTATGTTTGTTATCAGAATACATAAAAAATGGCACATTCTAGCACAATTTTTATTAGCTCAATTCTGTTAAACAGCTCTAACTTGGAAAATAAAACAATTCCTGGTTCAATTGGGCCATTAGTTTTATTTATTTATTTTTTTCTATTGTTAAAAGAATGGATGGTCTGTCCAAAGGAGATAATTCCAAATCTTTATTGTAAGTTACATAGTTGTTTCCCTTATAAGAACATATAAATAAGCAGTAAAGAATCCTTGAAGTTTAGTGATGATTTTTTAAATGCTTTGTTCCTTTAATACATAGTTGATCATTGGTCTTTACAGACTCCTTTTGTTTTTATCTGTAAATTACTGTGCTTTCTTATGGAAAATACTGGTATGGTTTCCAGTTGAGTTTTCCTTTTCTGAAGCTGATTGCCTCTTAAGGCTAGTGAGCCCAATTTACCTTGGTATTTAACCTATAGCTGGAAATGCATTCATATATTTCCCAAAGGTATTTGTGTGAAAGTGAATGCAGCTCATTTGACTAAAATTTGAACACTGCTCACTAATTCCACTTTTAGGAAAATCTATGACTAAGGGGAAAAAATGTTTTTCTGGAACATCTTTTGTCCTTTAGGTCTTCATTGAACTAATTTTACTTTTCCATATGGATAACTGTTACTCCACCCATGCCATTCATTTGTATTTGCAAATAATTATAATACAAATTCTAAAAATAGTAAATGATTTAACATTGATCTGAGGTCATCAAAGGTGACATTTTAGTGAAGGTAATAAATTGAAAAATTGAACATTCTGTAGAATGCTTATAGGATCAACAATAATAATTGTAATTTTTTTTTTTTTTTGTTTCAGATGAGAGAAAACCTGGGTGTAACTTTAGACAACCAGTGTTCACCAGCACCTCCAGAATTAATTCCACCACTTGCGATATTTTCTTCTTGGTTATTTGAAGTTAGTACAATTTATTTTTCTTTTTGACTTTTTTAAACACATTAAAATGTTTAGGAAAAAATCATTGAAATATTTAGCTAAAAAAAATAAACAGCCTATTAAAATGTTTAGTCAAGAAAACAGTAAAATGTAAAGTTTAGGAAATAAAGTAAAATTACTAAAATATTAGTCTTAAAAATGAATAGCTACAAAAAACGTTGGTTAAATTTTTATATTTTATATTTTTAATTGTTATAAAATGTACAGCTTTATCTTTATTCACACATTTTGGTTAAATCACCTTTAATAATTTTACATGGAAATGTTTTTATGATTTCATTTAATTCTATATTCTTAATATGATTGCTTGAATTATACCAACGGATTACTACCTCTGTCTGTGTGTGTGTATATATATATATATATAATAATTAAAGAAAAATAAATATATATATATATATATATATATATATAATTAAAGAAAAATATATATATATATAATTAAAGAAAAAAATTGTTAGATCACATGAGAAATTGTATAAAAAAAACTAAATAAAAGCACTTTGTCTGCTGTATTCAATGAAATGTGCATGAAAGAAGGTGTCCATTTTCATATAATTTGAATATTGATTGACGGAATCCATTTTTGCTTTTATTGATAGGCATGTTTTCTTTTCATTTGCATTTTAACAGATGGTGTAGCAAGCCTACTTAAAATCCTATAAAAAAGAACATGAAGATGCTATATTGAGTGCTTTTTCTTTTTCTTCTCCCCCTCTCTTATTTAATCTCACCTGAAACTCAATATACCTTACACTCCAGTCTGAAGCCTTTTAAGCTCTAAATATCGTTAAACAAATTTCTACTTGGAATCATTTCTCAAATGACTTCATCATTTGGCTGCTTGACAATGTTTGAGAAAAACCTGCCAAAAATTGTTTGAATTTCTGCCCAAACTTTGTTAATCATATTTAGAATTTTTTTTTTTCTTCTTCTTACATATGTTTCAGTTTTCTTCTTATACATTAGCTTTTGGTTTGCTACACATTTTGGTATCCCAAGTAGTGACTTATTCTTTGTTATCCTTTTGTTTCTTCAGTGTTTACAACTACCCAGCAAGTACAAGAGTAGCAAACTTCTTGCTTACGAACTCCTCTGTCTGATGTTTGTGCGTCGTGACAACACATTTCTACCTCCTGATTCTCTCACCCACTTCTATCAGGCCTTGCATCTGGGGCTGGTTTCCCAGGAGCAGGTGAGTACACAGATGTTTTAGAAAAAATTTTGCATCCTGAAGCCCCCCCACTCTCCAAATTATAAGGATATTTTGATTTTTTTTTTTTTTTTTTTTTTTTTTTTTGGGAAAAAGACTTCATTCTCAGTTCTTTGTTAAAATACCTTTTTTTTTTTTTTTTTTTTTAAAGTTTTATCTTAATAAATTTTTAATTGATATACCCTACTTACTTTTACATTGTTTGGACTGTTGTCCTCATCTTTATTGCCATATTCACAATGTTATGTCCAGAGTGGATAAAAGCATTGGTTGAAGTAATCTAGTGACTTGATCCAAAGAGTTGTGAGTTCAATACCTGGCCACAGCAGAGGTGAACAAAAAAATCTTGGAAAGTTGAGTTACTAAAGAGAAATAACTGAAACTGAGATCTCCAGAAAAGGCATGGCATGTGGAACTAGAACAATCTACTCTGGTGGACAAAATAAAGTATTCTGTCCAAAATTCCAACGTATATCACCTGAAGAAGGCTAGAGCATACAATGGCCGAAACATTGTGAATATGACAATAAAGATGAAGACAACAATCCCAACAATGCAAATAGTGTAAATAGCTACAATGCCTCATCTCAGAAATATAGACCCTATTTTCTAGTGTATAATATGACTTGAGTATAATACAATCATGTGTTTCTGAAGCTAAAAGTAAGGAATAAATTACATCCTTGAATATAATAGGACCCCCTAGTACAGTCATCCATATGTAAATCTTTTCTTAAAAGTTGTATCATATCCATTAAGATCTCGATCTTGTACATACATTTCACTAAAATATTTAATTTTTCACAATATTAAAGAATAGAAATGAACTGGACATTTAACCATTGCAGGTTTCTTCTAATTTCAGTTACAAAATTTATTTTCGGGGTAAAGGTACTTTGTTTTAACATTTAATGTTCGCAAAACATGACAGATCTTGTGCATTCCGTTTCACTTTTTTTAATCAATTTTGGTGAATTTTCCATCTTTGAAACATAAGCTATTCAATTCCGCTGATTTCCAAAGAACAACTATTGCTGACATATCAAATACTTTTAGTAAACAGTTGTTAAAAACACCTGCCTACTTTGTGTTGTATTATCTATTGGGCTGACTGATTGCATTTGCAATCTTGCTGTTTCAAATAAGAGTTTTTTTTAAGCTAAGTGAAAATTTCTGAAAATGTATACTTGTGTATAATACAACCCCCTTTTTTGCCTTGTAATTTTCATTAAAAATTTATTGTATTATGCAAAAGAAAATAGTTGTGTCAATCAATCTTATAGTGTTTCAGAACCACAGTTTGAACCTAGATCTACAAAATGGTAAACAAAAAGAACACCACATATTTTGTTGTTTGGGTGAATATGATATAAATTCTATAAATGATACTTTTTTGTTTCATGTGACTTATATATATATATATATATATATATATATATATATATATATATATATATAAACAGGAAAATCAAAATATAAACAAACTTTAACTTGTGAGCAAAACTGAGATTCCCAAAGAATAAATACTGCCAACATATCAAATATCTTTAGTAAACAATTGTTATCAACACCTGCCTATTTTGTATTTTATTATCTATTGTGCTGAGTGTATTTACAATCTTGCTGTTTCCAATAAGAGGATTTTTTAGCCGAGTATAAATTTCTGAAAACATGTATGACCACCTCTTTTTGGCCTTTTAATTTTCGTTAAAAAATTCTCTTATTATATACAAGTAAATACAGTAATATTCTAAAAAAAATTGTATAAAATCCTCTCTTCACTAGTTTTGTGTAAAACAAAACTATGGCTAGAAATAGTTGACAGGTATGTAATTCCTCTAAACAATCTTTTAAAAATAGTTATTATTACCTGTAAAAACATTTGAGTATCTATTAAATGAGATTGATTTATTTTTTATTAACATGATTGTTTGCTTCATGTAGCATTGAACATAACTGGTTACCATAACTGTATTTTCTCATTATTTAATAATAGTGAGATCAAGGTTGCTCATAATTACTTGATGGGCAAGTCTATTGTTATGAACAGAGGAAGAATGAAAATCCAGTTGTAATATTTATTTTTATTGTTAGGCACTGACAAAAAAAAATAAATTTATCCAATTCAATACTATTTTTAATAAGAATTAAATTTTATCGAGCCCAAACAAATGTTTTTCCATCTGATTTTATTTTTTAAAGAAAATGTTGCTATTCTGTCATTTTTATTTAAACTATTATCCTCATTTTGATTATTTTAGATACTCCTTGGGTGGTTACATAGCTGAATTGTTGTCTATATTTTAACATTGAAAACAAACAAAAATGAGAACAATAGTTTTGAATAAAATTAAAGCATATTTTTATTTTTGCTTTTTCTAACACAATGAGGAAGATAGACTTCTAAATTTTTTAATTATGTACAAGTAGATTTACAGTTAAATTGACGATGAAATTTGTTAACAGCTTTTAATCTTTGTTAATAGAGACTTATTTATATAATTGGACCTTTTTTTTTCTTTTTTTTCTTTTTAAATTTGCAGGACATGGTAAATGTGTTGGTGAGACATTGTGGGCCTTGGTTTCTTTCTGCTCCTCTGCCTGGTTCAACTTTGCTAATTCTAGATTCTGTCCATGCTGCAGGAAGTATTGTTTCCAGTTTAGACTTAGACGTATGTACTAAAATTGATTTGTAAAATTCTTTGTTTCTGAAGAAATATCATTCTACACTTGCATGCAAATACACACACACACACACACACACATGAGAAAACTTCAACCTCGCAAACAGACATTAATGACTTTAATCCAAAAAGCACACAGTTTTTACATTATCCGAACTATTGTCCTCATCTTTGTTGCCATATTTATTACAACGTTTTGGCCGTTGTATGCTCCGGCCTTAGTTGGAATGTCGAACTGAACCCTTTATTTTGCTCACTGGGGTAGACTATCCTAGTTCCATGTGCCATGTTTTAATGGATGTCAGTTATCAGTTTTCTCCTGTTAATTCCCCTTTCCAAGTTCTCCACTGCCTTAACCGGGTATTGAACTCGCACTCTTTAGGTTCTCTCACTGGATCTAACCAACGCCTTTATCCACTGTGCCACGTGTAAGTTCAATACCCGGTTAAGGCAGTGGAGAACTTGGAAAGGGGAATTAACAGGAGAAATCTGATAAATGACATCCATTAAAACATGGCACGTAGAACTAGAAGAGTCTTGCCCAATGAGCGAAATAAAGGGTTCAGTTTGACATTCCAACCACCTGAAGAAGGCTGGAGCATACAATGGCCGAAACATTGTAATAAATATGGCGATAAAGATGAGGACAATAGTCCGAATAATGTAAATAGTGTACATAATACCTCATCTCAGAAATATAGACAGACAGTTTTGTTTTTCATTAATGAAAATGCTAATCTTGCACATTTAAGGCAAAATGCACTTTTTCAGTTTTTTTCTTAATTCAGAATTTTTTTTTTTTTTTTTAAATTTAGATTTTTTTTTTTTTTTTTTTTTTTTTTGAATTAAAAGAAATGTCAAAATAAATTACAAACTTTACTTTTTTGTCAGATTCTAGGAAATGGCAATTAATAAATATTTTATTGTATTTAGTTCACATATTTTTATAATCTTGTAAATAAAACAATAGGCATAGTCAGGAGTATACAATAACATCAGTGTCAAGAGAAAAACTGTCCTTTTGACACATTGCTTTTTTTAAAAAATATTTTTTCAGGTTTGAAGGTTAAACTTTGCCATGTTATTTTTAATGGAATAGGCAAACTTGTGATATTATATTTGGGATCTATATTTTTATCTTTTGATCTTAATATAGTGAATTATTTTTTCTGTTTAGGCTCCGAGAGCAGAAGCTGTTGCACTGCTAGGTGCACTAATCTGTTTTCCTAATCATTATGGGGACTTGACAGTATTACAACCTAAAACTTTAGTCCGTACACAGCTATCTGCTACTGAGCTGAAGGTAAGATCCATTTATTGCTTTTATTTGGTATTAATTTTAATAAGAAAGATCTATGAAACTTTCACTTATTTTTTATTTTTTTATTTTAATTTTAATTTTCTGATGAATCTTAATTCTTAAGTTAATGATTGAATAAGCTCCTTGCGAGTTCCAAAACTATAAAATACCCATGAAAATTTCCCTAGTACCATGTTAAATATTTGAGCTTAACAACTTTAACAAAATATTGCAATAACAATCATAAGTATGAATGCAGGTCGTTATTTAAAGAAGTAAGAGGGTACAAATGAAAAGATTAAAAATTGACAAGGTTTTCCATTTTGCTGAAGCAGATGTTAAACACATGAATGTTATCACCTCCTTGATCTTCCTTTTCTTTCTTTTCCTAATGCCAAATGGTGCATTTGATATATCTTTTCTTTGTCTATCTTCACAATCAAATGGAGGTAATGGCAGAGTATAATGTACAAAGTTAACTAAGGAACAAGCAGAATAATTTTAATGATACACTAGCAGTTTTCACTGTCTCTGATTTCAGGAATTTTATTTTTTTGGTATAAGATATAAGCAGTCTCAAATGTCAGTCTTGATGAAGTTCGTTTGAAATTAATACAAGAAATAGCATTGCAATGGACATAGTAGCGTTGCCATGGATATAGTAGCATGTAGCATTATGGATATAGATTCTAACATTTCTTCATCAGGGAATACTTTATTCATGTCATGTTAAGGTTCATCCTTTATAGAATTTGGCAAAAGTCGTTTGTCTTTTTGCTCCCATATGTTCAAATTGTTTTATTTTCTAGAATTTGCTTTGCACAAACCAATATATTTGAGGAAATTGTTCAGCTGATTTTATTCCAGTTGAAATATGAGTGAATATAACAAAATTGGTTTGACTTGTATTCGTTGTATTTCTAGACCCCCCCCGCCACCTTTCCCCAAAGCAAAACTCCACAAAGAAATTCATAAAGTCAATCCCAAGTAGTGATTCAGTATCAGAGAAGATGGCTCTAGAACAAAATTAATTTCAAGAGCTGTTGCAATACTATGAAAGTCAAAAACATCTTGGAGGCCAAGAACATATGCCTGAAATCAAAGATCAAACTGTTGCATTCATTAGCCTTCTCAAGCTTTCTGTATTCTGGTGAATTTTGGACATTAATATCAGAATTGGATTAGAAATGAGATTCTACAGAACTATACTTGGCATCTTCTATGTAGACTGCATCACAAATGAAGCAGTGCTAGATGCCAAACAAGAAGTAGGCCTACAAATTTCTTTATCACAATTATTGGTTTAAAATTCATGGAAATTTGACATTTTTACTGTGGATATGTATGAAATTTTCTTTGTTTTTCTTGTTAAACTAAAGATAGACATTTTGTTTTCTGTTTTTTTTTTTTTATATTCACAGTATTTTCATGTTAATAATTATGTAATATTAGTGAATGATGATTTTTAGTTTATAATTGGATATTTTTTTTCTTCTCCAGGATCTTATCATTGATCTCTTATTAAAAGCAGGAAAACACGACTCAGCAAGCATAGCCAAGTAAGCTTATGTTTTAATAATTCCTTTTATAAAATCATTTTTATATTTATCATGGATAAATCTTTTTTTTTTTTTTTTTTTACATTTCATTTTTGCTCTTTACCACAACATAATTAACTAATCCATTCTTCAAAGTGAATAATGTGCAATTTGAATTAAATCATTTTTATTGTAAGAAAAGATATACAATTGATGCTGACAAGTTTTTGGACTAACTAATATGCCCTTAAAAAAAAAAAATAGTCAGATTCTAAGAATTGGTTTGGGCTGAGAACTTTTTAGTACCACAAGTAAGTTAGAATTTACTTTATTCCAATTTTACAATCTCTACCAAAACCCACAACAAATAAAATAAAAAGTAGCAAAAGAATTTATTTTCTGTCTGATTAAAAGCAACTGATATTATTCAATGAAATTATTCCAATAAAATGTAACCATTTTGTTTCTTTTCAGATGTATAGCTCTTAGTAGTTTAGGTATCTTCACATATGAAGAACTTTCACATGGAACTCTTCATCCAAAACTCAAAGAAGCTACAAATGTTTTACTTGGTGCTTTAAAGGTCAGTTAACATTTTTTTTTAATTTCTTCTTTTTAGTTTTTTTTTTCTCTTTTTAATAAAGTCAATGTAATTGTTATATTGAATAAGGAGACATCCATATTTTAAAATTATAATTGTATTGTTCAACTTTACATTACAGTAGATAATTCTTTTCCTAAGTAAGATACTCGGATATATATTATTTTGCTAAAATGCATGCCTAATAAGATCTGAATTGACAATCCTTATTTTGTCTAAACTGCATGTTATTTTCCCAAAATTTCTTTTTTTTTTTTTTTTTTTTAAGATTTCTAAAAATTGCATAAAATCTTTGATTTAGTTTTTTCATCCAAAGAAAAATATCCACATACAGTAATGTCTTGAGATATGAATTTAATTCATTCCAAGTCCGAGCTTGTAACTCAAATTAATTTTCCCTTTTTGAAATAAATGGGAATATTTCTGATCCATTCCAGGCCCCTAAAAATCACCCCTATTTTTTATTTGTGGGTTTCTTACAAGCAAAAATGTGTGAATAAACAAGAAATGTAGTTTACAAACAATAAAATAAGAGGAAAAAGAAACAGATTGTAAAGAAATAAACTGTATTAAACCATGAAGTTCATGGATGAGTCATAGTCCAATTGGCGGAGTGGAGGAGAGAGATAGAGAGGGACAACAACAGCTAGCCTAGCAATCACTAACTTAACCTAGTAATGGCTAGCCTAGTCTACAATACCAAAGATTAACTTCATCACTTTTTTAAAACATTTACATTTTATCCATTACTTTAAATAATTCTTTTTAAATCTTTTTTTTTTTTTTTATTTATCGTTGATGTAGAACGCTCATACTGTCTCATCAAATCCATTACTCATATGTCTTCCTCATGTTTTTTTTTTCCTCATAAGTTTCCCCACTATATCTCAAGCAAAATCATGTTTCATCTTTTCACCACTGCCTTTTTACACTTATTTTGTTTGGACTCATGGTGTCACTAAAGGAATTTTGCAAAATAACAGCCAAAAAAGACACAACAGTAACACAACACAGATCTTTCCAGAGCAAGGTGAACATGTGTACTGAGTGGAAATACTCTTGAAGCTTAGCACTTGCTGCACTAGTGGATGCTTAACTGAACCTTACTTGTATCACAAGGCAAAAAATCAGCCAAACTCTGGCTTGTATCTCAAAAAACTTGTATGTTGGTATGCTCGTATCTCAAGGCGTTACTGAATTTAAAGGTACTTGAAATCTTGATGAAAGTAATAATGATTTTAAGATATAAAATGTAAAAACTTTAAGATATTAAATATAAGATGTCTAATATGTGCAGGGATTTTAACATTGTTTTCTATTTATAAATGATTTGTCTTTTTTTTAATCAACTTGAAAATTTAAAATTGTAATCTCTCATAGACTTCTTGCATATTAAATGAATTATTGCTTTTTACCAATTTGCAGTACTTTTTTTTAAATAAAAAAGGAAAAAAAAAATACTTGTATTTTTTTTGTATATTATTGATTTCAGTGTCCAATAAAAATAGTGGCTAAAGTTGCCTCTGATATGTTGATGCTGTTGTGTGATCATGTAGACACACTTCTCAATTATCACCCAGATTTACCTAAGAAGATAATTGAGGTAGGTTAATTCTTTTTAATTAATTTAAATTTTTTTTTTTAATTTTAAATTTTTTTTAAAAATCGTTTTTTTTTTTTTTTATTTAATTGTGAAATGAATAAATTAAATTCATAACTAAGCAGTACTAAATAATCACTAGACGTGATATCCTTAACCATGGGCAGTGGAATAAGGATAATCTACCCCTGTAGATTAAATAAAAAGTTCAGTTTAAAATTCACTGAAGGTTACCTGGATTGACAACCACCTGATGAAGGTCAGAGGGCACAATGACTGAAATGTTGTGAAAGCAATATCTTTTCCAAGGTAATTTGTGCACAAGTGAATATAATAAACCCAACCAGAATTGTAACTCAGCTCTCTGATTAACAATTTTGAGCCATTATCCATTACACAATTTGCAAATCCAAGTTTACCACACATGGTATTCCCAAGCGGTCACTTGGCTAGGTACTGACCTGGCTTGATGTTGCTGAACATCGGTGATTGTATAGGAACTGGGATAGCTGTTTGTGTTGATCAGATTAGCAAGCTCCATACCACATGAAGTTGAGGTTCACTGGTGGATGTTTTGATATTTTTTTTTTCCATATTGACCACAAGTAGTTGTAAGCTGTTGCTAGATCAGTAGATGTACATTCCCCCTGCCTCCCAAAAATAATAGAAAAAAAAAAAAAAAAAGAAAAGGGAGTTGTAAAGTAATTTAGTTACTGTTATTAAAACAGGAAATATTTAACCTTTAGCATACTGCATTATTAATCTTACTTTCCTTTCTATTGCATTCTTTTTCAAGGCCTCTCAATTGCAGTATCCTTATTGTTAATTTCACTCAAAATTATTTTTTGTTGCCATAGCAGGATATGACAGCACAACTATGAAATTCAAGCACACTATTCTTCGGGGATCAGTCACCTTCTGTGGTAGGATAAACGTTTTGTACAGCAAATGAAGTTGCATATAGAATGATAAATGTTAAAGGATGAAAGAAAAAAAATACCATGAATAGTAGTTTGATTTTTAAAAGAAAAAAAAAGATGGCTGACTGGTGGAGTCTGAAGTCTTTCATGAAGCATTAAATGTATTTTTATATGTGAAATGGAAATTAATCTCGCTGTCCCCTTTTTCAATGTTTCTGTACACACATTTTATATTTGTAACATTAGTGTACCAGAAACCCACTTTTATCAGGGCATACACTTGCTGGGACTTGTTTTGTCCCAAGCATCACAACATGAAGATCTTAGTCCATTGTATCATAATGATTCATACTGAAACTAAAATGTATTTTGAAATAATCTATTGAGAATGTTTTCTGTGATAATGACTGCCTTATATTTGTGCTAAGATTGCTGAATTTTAAAAACCTTAATTGTTGGGTCCCAATAAATGTCCTGTCTATTTGCGATTACTATAGATTGATGATGTTAGCAGGAGGTTTGTTAAGTAAATTTGTAAGAAAATTTTAATCATCTTGGAGAACCATTTTTGCCTTCCATCTGCATGGCGGATGCTAACCTCCAGGAAAGTGACTCCTTGCACCTTCACAGGCTAACATTTTCTGCTGACATGAAGTAGAAAGATTATATTGAATAAATTACTAACTCTGCTGCTGGGAAAGTTGATTCACTGTGTTGTGTAAGACAATTTTTCTTACCAGAATCTAGCTTACACTTTTATAAGTCTACCATTCATTCACATGTTGAATATTGCTGCTACATGTGGTCTGGTGCTTCTGCTGTGTATGTAGAGATTCTGAATAAAATCCAAAGAATCTGCTATGTTATTGGTCCTGACCTGGCATCTCAGTTTCAGTCACTTTTTCACTGCCATAATGTTTCTCTGTGTCATTTCTATAAATATTTTCATAGTAATTGTTCTGATGAACTTTCCTCTATGGTACCTAGATTTTATGAATTTAAGCATAGTACTAGATTGGTAGCAAGGTTTCATCATAAGTTCTATGCTAACAGTTTCTTCTCTACCACTTTTTGTTTGTGGAACTCTCTTCCAGTTTCTTGCTTTCTAGTCAACTTTGATCTTCAAAAATTTAAATGCAATGTAAATTCTTTTTTGTTGTCTTAAGTCTTGTTTTTTTTTTTATTGTTCTCTTTAATAATGTTATTCTTTTACATTCAATAACCCCCTTGTGTCTTAGTCGCTTTATTGCCTTGCTTGGGGTGAAATTATAAAAAAAAATGTTTTTTTGATTGCTAATCCGTGTATTGTTTTTTCTGTCCAACCAATGTTGAGATCAATCTGTAATATACTGGCAAATTATCAATGTGTTTGTCTTATCCTTATTTAGAATATTTCTTCCCTCTTAGTTGCTGTGTACATTTGTTTTAATTTTCACAATCAAGTTCTGAAGAGAGAGGAACACAAACTAGTTAGCTTTTTTTTTCTTCAAACTACCATTCACAGTAATTATAATTATTTTCATCTTCTTGCATTAGGTATACCTGTGTTAATAGCAATAACATTTTGGCAATATTTAATCCCCCCCCCCACAAAAAAAAATGTGTGGTGGTGCTGAATAGTTCTTGAGCTCCAAATTCTGACCAAATAACTGGACATCAATTTTTCTTTTATTTATTTTGGTGGCTTCTTGGATAGGCCACCTTCACATATCTTCAAGGGATTTTGTTTTAGTCGGACATAAAGCCATGCATTGCATTTACATTTGCTACTATTTCAAAGTGATTACTTATTTAAGTACTAACCAGGTTAGATACTATTATTTTGATGATCTGCTGAGAACTGGTGTATTTGATGGAACTTGACAGCCTAATTTTTTGGTTTGAAGTAAAGTATTATTTTATGAACACACACACACACACACATTATTTTATTATTTGCTCATTGTCTGTTTCATGCAGTGTGATTTTTCAAAATGGGTGTTTGTTTCCCTTGGACTCTTCTGAGCCTTATATTTTTTTTTTTTTTTCTTTCATGTTTTTCAAAAGCAATGTGTTAGTATGCCAGCAGTTTGAAATAATACAATTCCTTTTATTTATTAACCTATTCATGTTGTTGAATTCTATCATTTTCAGTTTCTCCTCCATACATAAATTACAGTTTTTTTTTCCCATGGTTTCTCTCTCTTTCTATATTATATCTCATTCTATGACTGGTGTTGTCTTTTCCATTTTTTAACTCCATATGTGATTTACTTGACTAAACATTTGCACCTGCTGTAAGGAAAAAAAAAGAAATATATTGCTAATATATATGTAATGTTTTGTTTTCATTTCTACAGGCAATTGCCTTAACTGTTCCAGAAATTATGCCAAATCTCGATCAACCAAACACTGAAGATGAGAAAAGGGTAAGAATTATTTCTTTATTTCTATAATATTTTATTTTGCCTCTGATTTGTATCTTTTGGGAATGAATTTTGAATTTTTTTCTTATTTTTTGTTCAGTTACTAGAGTCCATGTTGTTCACCACAGTGGAATGGTGTGTTCGAATGCCTATGCATCTCCTGTTGGAAACTTCGGGCACAGAAAAATCTTTACTTTATAAGGTGTTCCAAGTGAGTATCATTCTTTTAGTCTCTGAGTTCTTAAACCTTCAATAATTTTTAAGGATCAGCAATTCCTCAAATTATACATATTTTGTTATTAATACTTGCATTAATTCCTGACCACTGACAATCCCTTTCTTCTTGATTTTTCAATGCATTCCTATAGTAAAATCATTAGCAATGCATTTACATTATACATATAATAGCCTTATTCTATCAGTAATTTTCATTTGTAATTCCTTCAGTTGTATAATATAATTTTTATATAAGAAACAATAATAAATTCTTCTCTGAAGGGGACACAGTTATAATGTTTCTATTCTCTTGGTATGCTTTTGAACTTAATACTTTGTATGTTTTCTAACCAAATATATGTATAACCGTTGATAACTCTCAGAATTGTTAATACTTTTTTCAATATTTCTTCATCGATTCAGAAAATTTTGGTTCGCTCTTAAGATTTTAGTATTTGGTTTGTTATTTTATATATATATATATATATATATATATATATATATATATATATTTTTTTTTCCTTAGTGAAAAAAAGCATTTACATATTTGGTTACTAAATCCTCCTCCTGAAGTAAATTCTTAAAATGCCCAGAATTCCAACACTTGATCTCATCATGATATTAGATTGTCACGCATGAAATGACGTACTTTATAGGAAATGAATAAAATGCTTCTGAAATGTTAACTAACTAATTTATTTAGTTGCAATTGTCACCATATTGATAAATGGCTGTTCTCCAACGTACCTCTAAATTCTTGATGCGATCTTTAAAAAAATCTCATTCTTTAATGTGATAAGCAGTTCAATGCTTCAATTACCTCTTCCTTATTGGAGAATGTTTTATTGCATATGAAAAGCTCAAAATGCTTGAATAAGTAATAATCAGTAGGAGAGATATTGGGTGAATATGGAGGATGAGGTAAAATTTCATAATTCAGGCTATGCAGCTTTTTGACAGTTGATTGAGAAGCATACAATCATGCAGCAAAATTGTGCCATCCCTATTCACAAGTCTGGGATTTTTCTTTTTCAATTTTTCATGCATAAATTCAATTTCTCCACAATGCAAGATTGCTGTTATTGTTTTCCCTTCAGGCAAGAATCAATAACCCCTTTGAAGGACCACCATACAGTAACCATTAACGTTTTAGGGTGCAGCAGAGGTTTTGGGTATTGTTTTGATGATTCACTTGCAGCTAATCACTGGTGTACTCTCTTACTGTTGTCAAAAAGTATCCATTTCTCATCACATGTAATGATTTGATGCAGAAATGGGTCTTTTTTTTTTTTTTTTTTTTTTTTTTTCAGTTTGTACTCGTACAGTAAGATGAATTGACATTGTTTCAGTGTAATCATTTTCATTGGGTTTATGAGTAAAAATATATTGAAAGAAAAATTATCTGGAAAGAAAAGTCAAGAATAAGTCAAGATTTTTTTTTTTTATATACTAAGGAGCTTTTTTAGATGACTGGATCAAAGTACCAACCAAAAGATGCATCTTTTCATGTGTGACAACTTGATATTTAAATTCCAAATGATAATAACTGGAACTTGTATAATTTACTAAATTATGACTGTTTTATAATTGTTTATCAGCATTAAAAAATGATTTTTGTTTGTCAGGTGCTGAATGCTGCCGTGACTGGCCACACTACGGCTTCCCTCTCTCGTGGGTGTTATTCTTTATCAGATTTCAACCCTGAGGCTGATATTGATGGAAATACTCAAACTGGTATAAGCTCCTCAAAACTTTATTCTGGAGAGACGACTGAGAGTGCGACTGTTGAAAATCCAAAGGGACTTTGCCCATTTGAAACTCCTGTAAAACCAGAAACAGATATCTTAAAACTGGCAGCCAGGACAGTAAGTTTGCTCGACTTATAATTTAATTAATTAATTTTTTTCAGTATCATTGGTAACAACTCTGTCAGATTGAGCAGCATCTTCTGTATACTTGGGTTCAGAAGTTTACAACACTGTCAACTTCCTCGTGGAGATCAACAGAAGACATGGGCTGGCTGCAAGTGTCATGAGAGACCCTCTGGAGACCACAATGGCAGTGTTGCAACATCTGATGCACCAAGCTACAATTTTACAATCCTACTGTCCTCTTTGTGCTACTATATGATTCTGAGATGTAGCCTTTCAGGGAGACACTTGTCTCCCATGTCCATGGCTTCAAGGACCATCAGTTGCACTGGTCAGATCTTGTCAAATAAGGAGCTCTGCTGGAGGATCAACATAAAAAAAAGATGTAATCTCTCAATCCCTCTCCACCAATTTTTTTTTTTTTATGGTGAGGTTCACTCTGTATAAGGCCTGGGGGTCACACAAGGTAGAGGGTGACACTCGAGGTAAAGGCATGGTTTATGCAGTTAACTGGGGAAGATAATGGTTGACTCTAGATTTGAACAGGTTAAGATTGTAGTGATCATGGGGAAACATCCTCTTGGAGGTCAGTTCCACAGAGCAGTGGTTCATGGAAAGAAGCTGCTTGAGTGAAACTTACTACTCACCAATGGAATATAGAAGGAATGAGTGTGGTTTGCTACAATGTGAGTAGCATGGCAGGTCCTAGCTGTGAAGGTTAGAACTGATAGAACTAAGGAATGTAGCTCATCTGAGCACTTTCCATAGAAGTAGCGATAAAGCAGTGAGAGACTTGCTACATTTGATCTGTGAGGAAAGGGTTGCAGAGTGGAAAATTAATTTGTCACCCACAAGGATGCAGAGACGCTTTTGGATTCTGTCAAGACTAGAAAGTGAGGACTTGGCAGCTCCCACCCAAATATGACAGCAGTACTCCATTTTAGTCCTGAGCTGGCTCTTGTTAAGGTGCTACTATAGTATGATATCTACCAAGGCATTTGCAACCTACTGTAAATGACAATGCACTCTGCCAAACAACCCACTTATGGCCTTGTAGTGGGTGGTTAGGTGATGAATATGTATTGTAGAAGAACACATGTGGGTAGAATTTCCTGCTACCCAGTCCAGCTACACAAGAAAGTTGGACTTTAATTAAGTCCAAAGAAACAAGCACATGGACAGTTACATGGACAGAGTGCGTGTGGTGAATATTATGTGTGTGTTGTGGTGAGTGTTCGTACATACGTGTATTGTTCTTAGCGTGTTCTCAGAATTTGGCAAACATTGTATCTGTGAGAGCTCGCTTTACACAACAAACTGTTTATTATGTTTCTTTATTGGTTTCTAACATATTCCATACTTCCAGCAGTTGGTAAATATCATACTATAGTAGAAAATGAATGGTGTATATATATATATATATATATATATATATATATATATATATATATTATATATATATATATATATATATATTTTTTAAGCATTCAACCCCAAGCAAGGCGGGAAGCCACTAACACGCAAAGGGTTTCAGAGTAGGAGCGAGAACAAAGGAGTGATAGAGGAAAGGAGATAGATCAGGGCATCTGGAGATGTCGATTGACATTACATTTAAAGAGTTGGAGATAATAGTTATCAGGAAAACAAGAAATGGGGAGGGAGTTCCACAGGCGAGAAGTGCAAGACATGAAGCTATTGGATTAGAAGAGACAGCTACATTTAACAGTTTCGACAGTGAAAGAGTGAGATGCCAGCTTCGTAGGACGCTTGAATCCATGAAGTCTGGGAACCAGCGAAAGCAGATCATTGGAGCAGTTACCGTGAAAGTATTTGTAAAAAAGACAGAGAGAGGCAACAGCACATCTGTGAGAGAGTGGCTGCAGACATGATGCCAGATCAGGGCCAATTACATTGCATATCTGTCTTTGGATTTTATCAAGGACCTTGAAACAATTAGGTGCTCCAGATTTGAAGGATCGACTCTGGTGAGAAAAATTTCCTAGCACGGCATAGGGAGCCAACTTTTCTAGTGGTGGACAAAGCTATTGACTCAATGTATTCATTCCATCTCAGGTGAGTGGACAATGTGAGACTGAACAGTTGCAAAGAGATGCTCTTGTGGAGTTGAGTGTCGGATATCATACTATAGTAGAAAATAGATGGTAGATATCATACTATAGTAGAAAATAGATGGTAGATATCATACTATAGTAGAAAATAGATGGTAGATATCATACTATAGTAGAAAATAGATGGTAGATATCATACTATAGTACCACCCTTGTAAAGGTAAAGGATAGCATGAGGTGTCAGGTACTTACTGGGATGGTACAGGGAACTGGCCATTTTTCCTGCATCTTTAGGTACGGGGTGAGTTTAATAGTTGCTCAAGGCATGGGGCCTCCCTGAGGAGCCATTCACTTATCGTGACTGGTGGTAGTTTGGGGTCCAATTGACGATGATGAAATGTAACTAGTTTGGCTTTTGAAGCATTGAATGTGCCCAGCCAGTTTCCCCCCACTGAGATGTTAGAGCTGAGATTGGAGGGGAGATCAACTGCCAATCTCTGGTCATTACGAGTTTTGGAGTTGGTGCGCATGCTCTTTAACCAAAAACTCATCTTTTAAAGAACTTAACTAAAAACTTTCTTACAAATCATAAGTATACTAAATGAGGCATTCAGTACTAAGATGGCAAGAAGAAAATTATAAGAACACAAGAAAAATTAAATAAAAAAAACTTAACCTTGCCAGTTGTTTTTAATAAAAATTGCATAAAAGAGGGATTGCTGCCCAATAGATGGGTCCGGTTTTCAATTTTTGGTAGTGGATGGGCACTGCTGATGAGTCCCAAATATAGGATGAAATGGCTGTCTAGTGCTTTCTGCATTTTGTTGAGGCTTCTTCTAGATTCAATGAATTACTTAATTCTGAGATATATATATAATATATTCAAGCATGTTTGGTTGAATAAGCTACACATATTATGTCTATTTCTATTTTAATACTCTTAATTTCACGGATCAATTTCTTAGTTTTAGAAAGATGCTGTAATGGGGGATGTCTCATGCACATTTACTAAATAAAAAAACAAAAAACAAAACATGACAACTATCAATTACATTCATTTTTGTCTTAGCAATTCCCTCCTGAAGATGATTTTGGATGAGATTGAAACTACTTGGGGAAAATAAAACTAAAATTATTTAATCAGCTTTATGACAACACTAAGAAATTGAACTGTGAATTTGAGAGAATAAAAATAAATATGCATAATGTATAGATTATTCAAAATATATATATATATATATATATATATATATATATATATACACACACACACACACACATACATAGATTCAGTATCTACACTACTATTGCTCTCACTTTTGTTGTCATCACAATGTTTTGCCCTTTGACCGTCATCAGGTGTATATCAATCTGGGTAACAGGATACAGGTAATTCTGAACTAAACTCTTTATTTCCCTGTTCATGTCAAGGGATATCTTGTCTAGTTCTTCTTTTTTATTTTTATTACTACGCAGTTATTGCTTGCCCTATTTCCACTGAGTACACACTGCCGGGCCCATTGATTGAACTCACAATTAGTATGTTACCAAATTAACGAAACAGTGCTTTAATCCACTTGGCTATTGTCTTGTAATATTGATGTACACTGGATAAAGGCTGGCAGCAATGGCTGAAATGTTGTAATCACAACAATAGTCTGAATAGTGTAATTAATAATGATTCCTCATCTCAGAAATTCAGATAGAAATTAAAGAATTCAGTGTTTATTATTTTTTTTCAAGACAGTTAATAGTATAATAAAAACCAATTCTGTGACTGAAAAAATTGTTAAGGCTTTTCAATGAATAAAAGCTGTTTTATTTGAGAACTCTCTGGAACAGCACGAACATCAGCCTGAAATCAAAGATCTGTCTGTTGCATGCATTAGTCTTTTTTCTTTTCTGTATGCCTGGGAATCTTGGACATGAACATCAGAATTACAATAAAGAATCCAGCCATAAGAAATTAAATGCTACAAATCCATCCTAGGCGTCTTCTATATAGACCACATCACAAATGATGTAGTGCTGGACACTATCTGACAAGAAAAAGGTCCATTTTGAAGGCCTGATATCTACTGTCAAGAAGAGAAAGTTGAAATGAGTATGGGCATGTTGTAAGGGCCAATAATCTTTCCATTGCCATTCTATAAGGTACCACCTTAGGCAACAGAATAGGAAGACAAAGTGGAAAAAAGAGCTGATTAGGTCACTGAGTGGTTTGAAAGATCATTCACAGAGACTGACATTGACACACATGCAGGGAGTTTGTTAGGTGCTCAATTGTACAATGATCTTATGACCACACCCAGTTATGGGACTGATCATGAGGATTTATTAGTGATCAAAGAATTTCTCCCAGAAGAATATTTTTTATTTTTGTAAATATTGCTCATTGTAATTTAATGTCATTGTACAGTTCAAACATTTGCTGCTCAGCCTCTGACCCATTAGGCATACGCTTTGTACATTGATATTAAAGTACATCTTTTGTACATTGATATTAAAGTACATCTTTTGTACATTGATATTAAAGTACATCTTTTGTACATTGATATTAAAGTACATCTTTTGTACATTGATATTAAAGTACATCTTTTGTACATTGATATTAAAGTACATCTTTTGTACATTGATATTAAAGTACATCTTTTGTACATTGATATTAAAATTACATCTTTTGTACATTGATATTAAAAGTACATCTTTTGTACATTGATATTAAAGTACATCTTTTGTACATTGATATTAAAAGTACATCTTTTTGTACATTGATATTAAAGTACATCTTTTTGTACATTGATATTAAAAGTACATCTTTTGTACATTGATATTAAAGTACATCTTTTGTACATTGATATTAAAAAAGTACATCTTTTGTACATTGATATTAAAGTACATCTTTTGTACATTGATATTAAAGTACATCTTTTGTACATTGATATTAAAGTACATCTTTTGTACATTGATATTAAAAGTACATCTTTTGTACATTGATATTAAAGTACATCTTTTGTACATTGATATTAAAGTACATCTTTTGTACATTGATATTAAAGTACATCTTTTGTACATTGATATTAAAGTACATCTTTTGTACATTGATATTAAAGTACATCTTTTGTACATTGATATTAAAGTACATCTTTTGTACATTGATATTAAAGTACATCTTTTGTACATTGATATTAAAGTACATCTTTTTGTGTGTGTCCCATTTGTCAACAATTATGACCATATAATAATCGCGACCTGGGTATCACAAACTACATCCAGCAGTAAGGTCTTGAGGAATGTGGATCCACCTCTTAATTGCTGTTGTTCCCAGATCCACCCTGACCTGGACTGTTAGCACCTGTTAGGGTCCCAGCTATTGGCAAATAGTGACCCCCACCAAACAAATGAACAGTACATTTTTGTAATAAAATGAGCAACAATAGAATTTTTTATAGCAAAATGACAATGCAACACTTAAAAATATAAAATACATTTTTATAGTAGAATTACAAACAATACATTTTATGATCTACAAACTCTATAACTAAAAAAAAACAAAAACAAAAAAAAACATAACTTTATCCTGAAAGCATAAAATTACATTAAAATTATCTGTAGTTGAAAGCATAAAATTACGTAAAAAAAAAATATGTAAATTTCGGCATTAAATAACTCATGTGAGGTTGATATGTCACTAAACAAAATCAACCAACCAACTAACCAATGTATAATAATTTCTAATTCTGTATTTCTTTTGCAGTTGATGACCCACTTAGTAAATCATTTTGGTCATTTTCCAATGGGTGACGGTGCAGCCAAGCTTAGCAGCTGTGTGCAAGAACATCACGACCTTCCAGATTTTCTTAACAATGACTTGAGACCAGAAATCTTTCAGGCAGAAAATGTTCAGGTAAGGAGAAAGTCTCTTGGTTTCTTATTGTATTTGTTCATCCTGGGTATAACGATAAACTACATCTGGCAGTAAGATCTTGGATTGGGAGATTGCAGGTTTTCAGGAGCTTGGAATCATCTTTTAACCTTTGCTGTTTCCAGGTCCACCCTAACCCAGAGCAGTAGCATCTCTGTTAGTCCCAGCTATGGGCAAATAGAGAACCCCACCCAAACAAAAATCAACAGCTCATTTTTGTAATAAAATGAGCAACAGTATATTTTTATAGCAAAATGACAATCAATGCAACACTAAACCGTCCTGGGTATGATGATAAACTGCATCTGCATCCCGGGTAAGACGATAAACTACATCCAGCAGCAAGGCCTTTGATCAGGAGGTTTTGACAAGCATGGAACCAACTCTTAATTGCTGGTGTTCCCAGGTCCACCCTGACCTGGGGTGGTAGCATCTGTTAGGGTTCCAGCTATGGGCAAATAGTTAACCCCTAAACTGGGTTCAAAACGCTATGAAAGTGTAAAAATAGGTTTTAATACCAGCTATGCATTTTTGTAAAAATTTATTACCAGCAATAAATTTTTTGAAGAAAAATATATATATATATATATATATATATATATATATATATATATATATAATATTTTTTTGTTTAAAAATATGATTCCAAAAAAAATATTATTATAATAAAGCTCTACTTCTGTATGGAGCACTGTCTTCTTAAAAATAAAAACAAAAATACTAAGGAACTCCAGATTATGCACCCAATGTGTTCTTTTCTATTTTCTGCATACCTGCGCACTTATACTTTATTACCAGCAATAAAAATCTTGTCAGCATTAAATAACCCATTGAGGATGATATGCCATAGACCAAACCAAACCAAAGCAACACTAAAATATATAAAAATACATTTTTATGGTAAAATTACTAACAATACATTTTATGATCTATAAACTATATCATTAAAAAAACATATCTTTACTCTGAAAGTATAAAATTATGTACAAAATATCTGTAGTTGATAGCATAAAATTACATACAAAATATTTAGATTTCAGCATTAGACTGTAAAAGTGTTGATATGTTGCTAAATAAAATCAACCAACCAATTTAATATTTGCTTTATGTATTTGCGAAGGTTTAATCCTGACATGAGAGCTATAAGAATTCATTTAGATTCCATTACAATAACACACTTGCAAGCTTTTTTTTGTTTTTGTTTTTAAAGATAAAGTGAAATGATGAATGAAAAAGCTAAAACATCAAGAAATTTTAAGAATTTGATTTCTACATTTCTTATAATTCTGTATTATTATTTTTCTTTAAACCTGACTATTACTTTGTTTTGTGAGAGATGTCTTTATTGTTGTTTTTATAAGGCTATCAAAACAATGAGAATATTATAATAGTGACCTCACTGGAAGGACATGTTATCTGTATAATTGTTCATGCTGGTTATGCTAAGGGGTAGTTTATATGGATAAGAAGCAAAGATAACAGTTAACTCTAGACTTGATATGCTGAAGTTTGTAGTGATCAAGGAAACATCTTAGGTGCCCGGTGGAACAGACTCCCAAGAAGATGTTTCCCCGATGACTATAATCCTAACCACTTCAAGTCTAGAGTTAACTGTTATTTTCCCCTCCTACCCACTTCAACTACCCCTTAACATAACCCTCTACTTTTAGTGGCCCTTGGGCCTTGTGCAGGATGAACCCTTCTGTTTAAAAAGAAAGACATCCACTTGTGTTCATGCTATTGGCTTCATGATAGGAAAAAAAAAAACTGAGCAGAAAACAGTTGCTTGAATAGGCTGGTCATGTTGCCTACAGGGTAAATGGGATAGCCTAGGTAGGCTGCTTGCAGGAGCCAATGGGATAGCCCAAACATGCTGCCTTACAGGGTCATTGAGATAGCCCAGACGTGCTACCTATGGATTAACTTACCTGTCATTGAACACATAGTGGCAGAGAACAAGAGGGTAGCAAGGAAGCCAACTGCTGGGAGAATGGATTTGTGACTATTTGGACATGATTTTGAGAATTTTTAACAGTTTGCTAAATATTTGCTACAAAGTTTCATGAAAAATTTATCCAGTGCTTAGTGTTCAATTTTGTGTGTTAACAAGAAAGTATAACTGACAAGCAAGTCATGAAATTAATGATTGGCTTTGTAAATTTAGTATTTAACAATTAAAACCAAACACTAAATATGTTTAAAGAAATAAAGAATACTGTGATTGGACTTTTTCCAAGACTTAGTAATGTAATAAAGAAGAATGTTGTTGACAAAAATATCAAGGCTTCTTTTAAAAAAAAAAAAGAAAGTTTTGTTAAAGATCAAATGCTAATAGTAAAAGTAATCTCCCTTTGAAAAAAGAAGCCTGCTATATGCCACCTTTACTGATGTACAAGTCTAATAAGCCAACTCTTGTTTTGGCCATAAAATTACTGTATATCTTGGGTACTGCCTGACCCTGGTTTTTCAAGGTAATAACTTAGGATAGTTATTTACAAATAAAAAATATTTCCAATATCTTTTATCATTTCTTATTTTTTTGTTTTTATTAATAAAAATCTTTTTAACTAGATTTTATTTAGAATATCTTTTAATATATTTATTTATTGAAAATATCTTGAACGTGTCTGTTCATTCAGCATGTCTTTAACGTGTCCGTTCATTCGGAAGTGAACATGAGCAAAAGTAATTAAAATTGTTAAAATTTATTATAAAACCTTTCAGATAAGTACATGGACTTGTGCGGGCATGCTACTTCTTTGTTAATCTGTTTTTATAGTTAATGTGAATGATTGGATATCTGGTATAAATCGTAAGCCAGAAACTGTTTTTTGCTAGGTGAGATGCTTTAATCTTTCATATGGATAAGTTCAGAGTAATTCAAATAACTTGATCAGCAGACTAAGCATAGGCATTAATGACTTGAGGAAGCCATCAGTCAGGAAAGAACAAGTGATGAGCTTGGGATTTCATTGGCATTACCCAAGTGGTGGGTGCCCTGGTTTAGTGGTTACAGGTTCGAAACTGAGGTCAAAAAAAACCCCCAATAACATACAGATGCAGGCACTTTGAAACATAAGAAGCATGTAAGAAGGGCTCAAGAGCAGATGACCGAAATGAGGGAATTAATTTAAATCAAAGAAGCAAAAATTCAATTTCAAATATTTATTTACTTATTGAAAACTTTTTGTATATCAAACCTTTTGTCATATTTGTCTTTTATTTTGATTTTTTTCCAGTTCTTTGTACTTAACCACCAGTCATTGATATCATTTGTAGAGCTTCCAGCAATAGTAAGTGTAATTAAATATATATTTTGATTTTCTGATTCATTATTATTTTCTATATTATTCAAAGTATTGTCTTTGCTTTATTTTCCTTTTATTTTTTCAATATTTCATTTTTTTTTTTTTTTTTTTTTTTAATATTTTCTCATATTTTTTCGATTTTTGTTATTTTTTCTCATTTTTTTAAATTTTATTCTTTAAAATCTTTTTATTCTTTAAAGTTGTTTTATTCTTTAAGGTCTTTTTATTCTTTAAAATCTTTTCTTAAAAAGTTCTGAAAACATTTTTAAAATTTTTTTTTTTGTTTTTTCAATTTTTTTCATTAGACATCGGCAAAAGTAGTGGCCCATTTTTGGGACAGTGGTCATTAATAAATTATAGATAGAAAGCTATAATTAATTCCTAATTTTTACAAAACTGTAAAAATACAGTAATTAATACTGCTGTTTTTTTTGTGTTTTTTTTTATAAATAGGTAATTAATTTCTTTTTTTTTATAGAAAACTATAATTCCAAATTTTAATTTTTCTAATTGATAGAGAATTTTCATGGCTTAAATAAATTCTAAAGATCAAATATGAAATACATCTGACAATAGTCCAAGAATATGCAGACAAAAATATTGTTGTCTGATTAATGGAATGCATTTTCAAGCAGACTGAGAAAAATAAGGACCCAAAGTTGTTAGCATTTATCTAAAAATGGATCATCTGGTTTTCTCCAGCTGTTAAAGCACTTTCTGATTGCAGGAAATTCTGCAAGAGACAAATTTCAGAATTCTGTTGTTTGAATGTTGGAATTATTACTTGAGGAAATATGTGGTCACCAGAATATCTTTTCCACAATATTAGGGAAATCATAGAAGTGACTTTAAAGTTTGTTTCTTTATTGCTTGCATGTGACTTTTAAGATACACTTTAATGATTATTTGCTGAAAAATGATTATTTTTCTGAAAATTATAACTGAATATAAAATGTACATTCAACATTATTTACTCCTTTTTATTTAATCTGGGAATGAATGTAGAAGTTCCAACGACGGAATTCTGAATCTTGGAGTAGTGATGCATGCAGTTGGTACAAGCATTTATTGGAAATGGTTTATGAAGTTTTAAGATTTTGAACCTAAGAACAATCTTGAAAATGGATTCAGTTAAAGGAAATTTTGAAGGCAAACACTTCCCAAAGAAGACAGAGATGAACCAACCATTGTAGTAAGTTGTTTATAAGGCTTAGGAAAAAGTCAAAAACATGGAATGTTGGTGCCACACAAACTTACAAAAACGAGTATCAATTAGCATTTAAATGCCCCCTCAGCACTGAAAATATTAATTTTTGAACAAGAGCATGTTAATGGCCATGAAAAATGATTTTATTATGAGTATCCAAAGTTAATAAAATTCTATGTTGGGTCCAGAATTGGCTTGGGCATCTCCGCCTAAACAGAAGCTTCTGCGGGGATGAGGGAAAATTCCTTTCTGTGTTTGGAGGCAGTCAAAGGGAATTCTTTATTACAAATTGCTAGGATCATGATGAACTGTTACTGAACCAATGCTACAATGAGCAATTGGCTTGTTTGAATGATGCATTAGTAGAGAGAATACTTTTGGCAAGGAATCAAATTGATGTCTTTTGTCATGTTGCAAATGTGGTACAGGAAATAATTATGGAATTATGTTGGGAGGTTCTTCTGCACTCAGTATATTCTTCAATCCTGTCATCTAAAGATGACAGATCCATACAACATTTCTTATCTAGTTAACATTTTCAAGATTTCAAAAAGATTTATTGGCTAAAAACCAGGGTCATTCTTTTTATGATGGAATACACTTCTTTTTATGTATTATGTCTTTTCAGTATATGGGTGATTATGGCTCTCCACAATTTCTGTTTTTTTTATTATTACGATTTCTCTATGAACAAGAAAAAATTTAGGTGAAAGGTGGCTTAAGATCATAAAATTCTAGGAAAACATTTTGCTGGGTTTGAATTTGATATGTCCCGGGATATATTTGATCGAAGTAGCTAAGTGGGTTTGGCTACTGTAACCAAGTAGTACACTTTGTAATTACCAAATATTTGAATCTCCCAAATTAATCTGTTTTGCACACAAACTTTAATATTGATCTATTCAATACAGGTAATGCATATCCTGAGAATATTTAATTTTGGTTTTTCAGCAAGATATTCCTGGAGGTGGTGTGACTGCTGGTCTAACAACTGCTAAGACAGTATGTCGGGTAATTATTAGAGACTTGTGTGGAAAATACTGCTGGGAGAACTCAGTCTTGTATGGGCCACCATGGTGTCAAAAAGGATCAACTGCAATCAATAAAAAAGGTACGAAAATTTGATTTATTAAATATTGCAAACTAGGTGTTTATCTTGTCTGAGTGGTTGAATTTACCTTCAATTTAGAAATGAAAAATTCTTGAAAATATTCTTTAAAGTAGAATGGCCAGTTAAATTTAATAAAGCTGTTTCATATGTACAAGATGTTGTCCAATGATATTTATCGAGAATAATTTCAGTCTTTTTTGGTGAGGAAATCTCTGAATTTCTGTCATTAGGAGTTATCATTATTTATATTATTTACATTATGTATTTACCTTTTTTTTTTTTTATAATAAAGACAAAGATGAGGATATGAGTAATTAATGCAAGAATTTGTTTAGATTAAGAATGATGTCATTTTGGTGCCATTTTAAAAAATATTTTTCTTATAATTTCACAGTTTTCTCTTTTTGACAGATAAATTACATTTTTTTTATTTTTTTTTTTTTATTTTATTTATTCTTGCAATCAATATTTTCAACATTTTCATTTTTCTCCCTCATTGACAGAATATGAATTTGCTTTGTTTGGAGCTTCCTCTTTATTACTATATATTGTCTTATACTGAGTATTAATTGTGTGAGTGCTTTTTAGTGATAATGGTAGATAATTAGCTAGTCCTTTTCTTAAGGTTTTTTTCATAAATGTTGACTTGGGTAGCTGGTGAGTCCATTTTTGGCATGGAAGGTTTTTCAAATTTAAATAAAATCAAAGGGACTGATATTTGACCTTTTTGTGTTAGTTCTGGCTTTAAAAAGAATTTTTTTTTTTTTTTTCTTGGTGAACTTTCAACCTTCAAGAATAAGACCATCTCATTTGATCAAATAAAAAGCTTTGGAAGTGTCTGCAAAGATTGCTAAGTTTTACATGTATTTACTGCTATAGGCACATGAAACCATTCCAGTATTTCTATCAAAAAAAAGTTTTGCTTACTGATTGTTAGGAGTCACTACATGCAAATGTTTATTAAATTATATTCTGAAAACTTTGGGATGGAGACAGTGATTGTTAAATAAAATAGATTTTAAAAGGAAAAAGAATTTAAAATATTTTTAAAGGCATTCGAAAATTGTGTGCATATGTTTATTATTCATTGTCTCTCTCTCCTTCTTCTTTCGCCCGCTCCTCCCCTCTCCTTCTTCTTTCGCCCGCTCCTCCCCTCTCCTTCTTCTTTCGCCCGCTCCTCCCTCTCCTTCTTCTTTTACCCCGCTCCTCCCTCTCTCTCTCTTTCACCCTCCTCCCCTCTCTCTCTCTTTCACCCGCTCCTCCCCTCTCTCTCTCTTCGCCGCTCCTCCCCTCTCTCTCTCTTTCGCCACTCCTCCCCTCTCTCTCTCTTTCTTTCGCTCCTCCCCTCTCCTTCTTCTTTCGCCCCGCTCCTCCCCTCTCTCTCTCTTTCGCCCGCTCCTCCCCTCTCCTTCTTCTTTCCCCGCTCCTCCCCTCTCTCTCTCTTTCACCCGCTCCTCCCCTCTCTCTCTTTTCCCCGCTCCTCCCCTCTCTCTCTCTTTCGCCCTCCTCCCCCTCTCTCTCTCTTTCGCCCGCTCCTCCCTCTCTCTCTTTCGCCCGCCTCCTCCCCTCTCTCTCTCTTTCGCCCTCCTCCCCTCTCTCTCTTTCGCCCGCTCCCCCTCTCTTTCCCTCCCCTCCCCTCTCTCTCTCCCCCCCCCCTCCCTCCCGCGTTTCTCAATAGTTGTAAACATCTCTACCTTATTTTTATGGTTCTGTTGATTTTTTTTTTTTTTTTATGAAAGTGAAATTATGCTCATTTTGAACTTATAAAATATTTTGTGGCTGAAAAGTTAAAATTTTTGCTAGCACTGATTGAAATGTTTTTATTCTATCACTAACTACAAAAGTAGTATATAATTATAATAATACCTGTAACTATTATACTCTTTATTCTATTTTATTATTATTTGTTGTGTTTCATCATTATAGTAAAATATTAAAAAAATAGTTTTTAACTATTCTTTACTCTTCTTTTTCTGTTCTTTCCCATAGCAATTTTAGCAGGATTAACTTGTATCTCATTAGCCTTGCAAGACGCTTGTTCTTGATTACTGGTCCATTCTATTTACTAATGATTGTTCAATAACAATCTGAGTACAGTGAAACCTGTCAAACTTACGCACCCTCAAAGTTACGTTCTGTCAAACTTACTTGAATTTTGAGGGCCTTGTTGGATTTACTAAAAAGAACCTGTCAGACTTACCATTTGTCAAACTTACGCAGAATTTTTGGGAAAAAAAAATCATGCCATTCTTCAAAAAAGCAACTTATGATCGAAAAAAGCCAACTATACTGACATTTGAACAAAAAGCAGAGATAGTGGACTGTAAAAACAAACATCCGGGGGAAAAGGCGGCTAAAATCACCCTGTTTTTCTCTAAAAAGTTCAAAGTTAAGATTGACGGAAGATCTGTCCAAAATTATATAAATTCTAAGAGTAAAATCAAAAGTGAGAGTCATACATTGCCAAAAAATAAATCGAACAGGCCCGTAAAATATAAAATTATTGATGACGCTTTATCAAGTTATATTTCGCGAATAAACTCAAAAGGGGGTTTTATTGATGATTTTACAATAATCACACAATCAAAGAAGATTGCACAAGATAATGGAATAGACGATTTTAAAGCCTCAAATGGTTGGCCCCAGAACTTTAAAAAAAGACACAAACTGTCTCTCAAACCTCTACATGGAGAAACATACTGTGAGGAACCAAAAAACCACGATGAATTTCTTAGCCAAATTGACGAAAAAATCTGCATCTATGGTGAGGAAAATTTCTTTAATATGGATGAAACCGGATTATTTTATAAATTGATTCCATCTAAATCAGTTTGCCAAACAGCACAAAGAGGATATAAAAATTTTAAAGATAGTTTCCATAATGCTCTGTTCGAATATGACAGGATCCATCAGGATGCTGATCGGTAAAACTAAGAAACCAAGATGTTTTAAAAATTTTACAGGGATAAACTTAGTAAATTATGTTTGTTCAAAAAGAGCGTGGATGACGTCTACTATTTTTTCTGATTGGCTAGATCAATGGAATCAAGATCTTGTTCGTTTCAACAGAAAAGTTGTACTTTTGCTTGACAATTGTCCAGCTCATAAATCTCTAAAAATTTATTCTAATATTGAGCTTGTTTTTTCTCCCAAGAAATAGTACTGGTGACTTACAACCTATGGATATAGGAATTATTAAGTCCTTCAAAAGCCATTTCAATCGAATTAAATTTGATAAAATCCTGGAAATGATTGAAGGTGATGATAGTGTTTATGAGAGCTATAAAAAAATAAATCTTGCTGATGTGATCACTTTTACGGATATGGCATGGGAAAAAGTGAGTAAAAAAGTGATAAAGAATTGTTTTAAACACCTCAAGGGAGAAAAAAATACTGACACTGATTTTAATGTCAATATCGACGAAGAACACCTCGAAGACTACTCAAATTACGCAAGGTTTATCGAAAAAGGGAAAATATTAGATCGGTTAGATTTAAAGGGCTTCAATTCAATAGAGTACAATCAAACTATGAAATTGAAGAGGAAGTTTATGAGATAGAAAACTCAAAAAATATCGACAATATTGGGAGTAATGAGTCAGAAGAAGAGATTAAAGAAACTAAAACACCTATAATAACACAAAAAAGTCTTTAGAAGTTATAGAAGAACTTTTTATTATACATTTCCCAGCGTGAAATGACACCGGATGACTATAGTTTATATAAATCATTAATCAAGAAGAAAGCAAGTATTAAGAAAGAAAAAGTTGTCCGAGTACAGAAAACTTTATTTGATTTGGATTTTAAGCGTGTCTAGGGGTTATTAGGTGAATTTTTCTAAAAAAAAATTTTTCTCTGTCAAACTTACCAATACTGTCAAACTTACCAACTTTTTTGTGGTCCCAACTTTGGTAAGTTTGACAGGTTTTACTGTATTAAAGTGGAAAGAAATACAAGTAAAATCATTTACAATTGACAAAGTTCTAATTAAGATATTACAAAAAAATCTAGAACCTTATCTTTCTGAAAACATTTTAATTTGTTAAATTTCTTTAAAAAAAATAGTTATTACTATTTATCCTTGTCATGTAACACTTTAATAAATAACTTTAATAAAAGTTCACTGATCATTTTATTTATTTTTTTTTTTGATTGTCAATTTCATATTGTGTTCCTCTTTAGTTGTCTCCCCTGTTGTGGATAGCCCGACCACTGTGCAGTTCCCACCAACGTCCAGTGAACAGAAATCAACTGTTAGACAGCAGAACTGTGATAACCGCAAGAATGTTGCAAATCCCCCACTGCACTCCTTCTGTGAATTGCCCCAAGGAGACCGGCCAAACAGTGATAATTTGGATGATGTAAGAGAATAGCTTCATTGTACAGCCATTATGTCACATCAATTATAAGTTGTTCATTGACAGTAGCAATAGTTTGTGAATTTAGTAGTATAGTCATTGTAAGTTCAATCCCTGGGTCGGGTAGTTCAATCCCTGGGTCGGGTAGTTCAATCCCTGGGTCGGGTAGTTCAATCCCTGGGTCGGGTAGTTCAATCCCTGGGTCGGGTAGTTCAAACTTGGTGGAAATGGAACTAGCAATAGCAAAAGTTTTTTTAAATTTATTTTTAATTTTATTTCTTAATCATTTCACCCCAAGTAAGGCTATAATGCCACTAGAATGCAGCGGTTTACAGGGGGTGGTTAGAGAAAAGAAACTGTTAGAGGAGAAGTGATGGTCACATCTAGGTAGTTCAAAGTAAAATGGTGAGATCTAGTAGCACACTTAAATTCATGTAGATGGGGAACCAGAAAAAATGCTTGTCAGAATAGTTGCCATGAAAGTATTTGTAGAAAAGACAGAGGGAAGCCACATCATGTCAGTGAGAAAGTGACTAAAGTCGAAATGCCTGATCAGGATCTATTACATTACAGACTCTTAAAAAAAAAAAAAAAAATATATCCTGAGACATGGAAAGTGAACTCTTGATCATAACTCCTAGCAACTGCAGGATTCATCTAACAAGAACCGGTTGATCAATGATATTGTAGCTGACTCTCCCTTATCTGCCATCGAGCCCTGCATATGAAGCCAATGCATCAATCTGTTTGTCTTTCACATTTACATTGTAACTACAATTCAGTAATCATGGTCACAACTCCATTTAGCAACCCCGGTGTTGATCCATACTGATGTGGTTCACAGTGTGATTTATTCACCATCAATCTCTTCATATGAAGACAATGTATTGGTCTGTTGATGCTTGTCTATTGATGAAGAGTTGCTTCATTGAGGTTTGCTCCTCAAGATGAGTAAGGTTTTGTTTGGTTCCTTCCTATTGAACTGCCCAGGAGATAAACTCCTGACCAGCATAGCTCTTTGGGGTCATAGGAGCATGCAAGCCATTCAAACATGTCAAAGCACTTAATCTTGAAGTGGCACAGCTATCTAATACTTATTATATTTGATCTAAATATTAAACCCATGGAATAATCATTAAGTGATGAAAAATTTTTTATTGGATAAATATAAATGTGTAAATTGATCATGTTAGTTTTTTATTCACTTTGGCAAACTAAAAATAAAACATGTTTGTATTTTTTCTGTGTGTGAATTGATTACAATATACAAGGTTATTCTTCATTTTATGGGGACTTTATTTTTGCATATTTTAATAACACAAGTGATAAACACAAGCTAGTAATTCCATCAGGATGAAAAAAAAACAATTTGTTTTTATCATTTGTTAGATAGCTGACCATGTTCGTATATAGTGGCTCATGGTCAAATCATGCTGAAAAAAACAGTTTTGTTTAATTACTGAAGTTAAGCAGTGTTGAGCCCAGTCAGTAATTAGATTGCGGGACCTCTTACGAACACCAGGTACTGTATGAAATATGTTTTGGCTTTAAATAACCCACAAAGTGTTGATAAGCCCATGGAAAAAAAAACAACAACAAACAAACAAGTCAGTCAATCAAAAATCATCTACAATGAATTGTGGAGTAATATTTATTAAGATAAAATGCTTAGCTAATTTTGAAAAAATTCTTCTATTAAATGTAATTTATGGAAAATTTTATAACTAAAAATTGAAAGATTTGGCTAGTTGCTTATAATGACTAATTGTTCTCTTTGTCGCTGCTACAATATATTGGTTACACAAGTCCTGAGTGCCTCTTGGTGGGAAATTAAGGAAAAAAATCCTACTCAAAAACGAATAATGGCTAACAATGCTTCATCTAATAATAATAAAATTCAAGATAATATTACTACTAATATTACTAATGTAATAAAAAGCAAGGGAAATTAAGATGAAAGAAATCCTTGTCAAAAATGAATAATGGCTGACAATGCTTCATTTAATAATAATAAAATTCAAGATAATATTACTACTAATACTACTAATGTAATAAATTTAAAAACTGTAAAAATGAAAGATTGGCTTTATAATGGCTAATTGTTCTCTTTGCAGCTGCTACAATATATTGGTTACACAAGTCCTGAGTGCCTCTTGATGCCTGGTGTCCCACTCAATATTCCAGCTCAAATTCCAGAGAAATTGAGTGTTCAAGCTGAAGAGATGATGACCAAGTTAGTGCTGCAGCAAAAAGAAGCGGAACTTGATTATTACAATCAGCACAAATCTGACTCACGGTACAGAGATATTTATTTATTTTCTTTCCATTCTATACACTTAAAAAAAAAATTAAGTAATGCTATAAAAACATTTATTAAAAAAGAGAGGTAAAATGGACAGGGAGAAAAAAAAATCAATCACTATAAATGGTAATTGGAAAAAGAAAATATCTTTTCCCACTTATATATACACATACACACCCACACATACAGAGGGTGTGATGGATAAATTGTCTAAATAACGCAAAAATGAAAATAACACTGACATTTCATTTTATCAGATATATTTACCAAAATTACACAAAAATATCTTGAAATACTAAAGAATAAATTTATTCAATAAAATCGCCATTGGCTTCAACCACAACCTCCAGACGACTCCAGAATCTCCTGCAACTTTTCTGAACAGTCTCCTTGTTTAAGTTGGTGAATGAATCCTTGTCTTCAGTTCATCTTTGGTGTTACAAGGAATTTTGGTGGTCTCTCATTCAACTGTGTCCCACAAATAATAATCATGGGGGTTGCAGTCTGGGGAGTTAGCTGGCCATATGTAAGGGGTGATGTGGTCACAAAAATTGCTTGATAGCCATGACTGGGTTCTCCTGCTTGTGTGGCATGGTGCAGTCCTGTTGCCAGATATAGGGTCTTCCAGCAGCTACCCTCTTGACCCAGGGCAGTACTACCTCCTTAAGGCACTTTATGTAGGCCTCCGTATTGAGTCTGACGCCCTCAACAAGAAATTCAAGAGTTCTTTTCTTATCAGAACGATCAGTGAGTTTCCCGAGCTGTTGTACCTTCTTAATCACCATTAGACTCATCCAACTCTTTCAGAATCATCTGTACTGTCCTAAGATTGACACCCAAACACTCTCCAATGTTTGTATTGGAGCTTCCAGCCTGAATGCCAAGCAGTACAGCATGCTGTTTCCAAATTTCTGGCAGAGTGAATTGTGTCATGGTGCTTTTTCTCACAGGTGGTGCCCAACTGGCTCTATTATACTGTGCAGTCAACAAAATCCCAAACAACACACATGTGCAAAATTAAAAATATAAAATGGCAACAATTTACTCATTGCACCCTGTGTGTGTGTGTGTGTGTGTATATATATATATATATATACACACACACACACACAGTTGGGGAAACAAATATTCGTACACATACAAATTTTTAATTTATTATATATCCAACTAATGAATAAACATACTTTTCATATAATTAATTGTACACAGATGCATAATAACTAAATATGCATAGAAAAGAGAAAAATTTTGATCTAATACAAATAAATCCGATTTATCCATTTTCATGGGTGAAAAAAGTATTTGTACAATGCAAAAAAGAATGCATAACCTTCATTTAATACTTTGTAGAAAAGCCATTCTTCACGTCTGCATCAACCAACCTCTTGTAGTTCTCAATGATTTTCAAATTTTACTTGGTATTTTGTTTATTTTTCTTCACATATGGATGCTTGTTGAAGCTCTCAATTAGATTTGAATTTTCAAATAAGGCCATAGATTATTGATAGGGTTTAAATCTGGGGACTGATTGGCCATTTCAGGAGATTTACATTATTTTCAGAAAGCCATTTCTTCGTAGATTTTGCATTGTGCTTAGGATCATTATCTTGTTGGAAGATCCAATCAGGAGGAAGTCGAAGATTTTCAACGGAAATCATTCAATTTGTTTCCAAAATATTTTGATATGCTGCGGCATTCATTTTACCATCTATTACTAATATGTTGCCAGTATCTTTTGCAGAAAAACATCCCCAAACTGTGATGCTGCAATCACCAAATTTATTTGTTGGAACTGTGTTCTTTTGTTTGAAGACATCGCCATCTTTCCTCCATACATGATTTCTAGAATTACATCCAAACAACACATTTTTGGTTTTGTATGTCTATAATACTCTTTTCCAATATGATTTTGCCTTATCCTTATGTTCATGAATGAATTTCAACCTGGCATCTCTGTTTTTTCAATAGCAGTGGGGTTTTCCAATAGGAGCCTGATTTTAGATTGTTCCTATGAATTTCATTGCTTATTGTCTGTTTAGTGACACAGATTCCTGATGAAAGCAATTCATCCTGCAACTCTCGATGAGTGACCATTAAATATTGTTTAATTTGACACGTTAATTTCTTCAAGGATTTTGCAGAAATCTTACGTGAGCACCAGTTCTTCTTTGGTTTTCAACAGTTTTGAGTTTTTTATACCTTGCAATGAATGAACTAATGATAGTAAATGGAATATGCAGGTTGTCTGAGATTTTCCTGTAACTTTTACCTTCTTTCCAGAGCTTAAGAATCAGTTCTTTTTTGCGAATTTGTCAATTCATTACCTCTTGCCATGATGAAAATCTTCTTGCACGAATATTAAATATAGAATGTTTTTTTTTGTATTTTTTAGGCTAAAAATAACTACTGATAACATTATTGGAACATTCTAGAATATTTCACTTGAATAATCTAGACTATAAAAGCAATTTAAAAGTTTTAAAATTTGAAATTTGCATTGTACGAATACTTTTTCACCCATTAAAATGGATAAATGGGATTTATTTCTATTAAATCAAATTTTTGTGTTTTCTATACATATTTAGTTATTGTGCATCTGTTAATTATATGAAAAGTATGTTTATTCATTAGTTGGATATTTAATAAATTAAAAGTTTGTATGTGTACGAATATTTGTTTTCTCCTTACTCTGTGTGTGTGTGTATATATATATATATATATATATATATATATATATATATATACACACACACATACACGTGTGTGTGTGTTCAGTTGACTGATTTTAATTAAAATCAGTCAATTGAACTTTATTGAATATTGTAGCTCTAGTTTCCTATTGAGCACTTTTGGTAGAGGTCTTTTTAGCCTAAATATACATTGAATTCTTGTAATTTTGAAAGTTCTGTTATATGATAAAAATATAGTTTTATGGTTTGTTATACTTATATTATAACTTCCTATTGTAAGGTCATTGTTATAACACACATTTGTACTTGGTATAATGTAATTTGCATAAGTATTCTCTGTGTCATGCTTAGGCTGTATAGTTAGTATGAAGACACACTCCAGTACGACAGTTGCCCCACTGCAGACGAGATGTGACACAAGGTCAAGTTTTATGTAAGGAAAACTGAGTTTCCACCCGGGCCACTGGTCAAAGTTTACTCAACCCCAGCAAAAGTCAGCTTGGGTACAATTCTTGTTTGTTTTTCTCAGCTGAGTCTCTATCTGAAGACAGAGCCCCAACTGAATCAACCTCTGCCTGAAGACAGAGATCTAGTTAGTCGCAAGCCAGACAGCGAACTGTCTGACTCCAACTTGTATGTTTTTCTCTGCCGAGTCTCTATCCAAAGACAGAATCCCAACTGTATCACCCTCTGCCCGAAGACAGAGATCTTGTTGACTGCCTGGAACTGACTCCAATGCGACTACTGCTAACCTTGTATCATGGAGCACTTTATAGTATTCGACAAGTTCATAGTTACTGGGGCTGTACTCTTTGCTCCACAACATCCTTTTTGAGATTACTATTTTATTAAATAATATTTTTTATTTAGTATTGATATCTCCCCCCCCCTCCTCTTTCTGGAGAGTTTGCCAATGTACTTTGTCGTGTTTTCTTTTCCTTAAATTCCTTCAATTTCCTTGAACAGGTTCCCCAATTTGTTTTGCTGCTGACACATCAAAAATGCTGTATCACATTTTAACCAGTTCTTCAGGTCTTTCATCAGTCAATTTTTTCTTCAGCTGATTTCAGTGTCTTTTATGTTGAACTTTTTTTTTTTTTCCACCATTCAACTTCAAAAAAGTTTCTTCTGAACTTGGTAATGAGTAGTTCTGTTTTTCAAGACAACTATTTAATTCAGTTGAGAAATCATCGCAAACACAAATTTTGTCAACTTTTTTTTTTTTTTTTCACATACACTACTAGTGCAGCCCATTTCAAATGGTTTACTTTCTGCAATACATCAATTCTTTCTAGTCTGTCCAATTCTTCATTTACTTATTCTAATGCTTCGAATGGTACATTCCATTTCGGTTTAAATGCTGGTGTTGAACCTCTTTTTTTTTTTTTTTTTTTTTTTACTTGAATATTCACCTTGAATTTTGAACACCGACTTAGTTCATTAGACAGAACATCAGGAAAACATTTTTTTAATTCCTCCTTCAGTTTTTCGCTGTGTCTATTTAAATTTGTTGCTTGTTCACTTACATTTTTACAATAAGTGTTTATCAGCAAATTCCACAGTTTAAATAGTTCCATCCAGTTTATAGATTCATTGCATTTCTTAAAACATAAGCTTTTGTTTTTACCTGTTTATTTCGAAAATAAACATCACATATTAATTCTTCCCCGAAAAATAATTTCTTACCAGGAACAGAATTTGTGACTTTGTAAAGTCCTTTTTAATAAAGGTTTTCCAATTTCTTTCCATGTGGTTTCATTTACTATTGAAATGTAACTACCAGTATCTAGTAACATTTTTACTGTTACATTATTGATTTGCATGTTAACAATTTTTCTTGTTTTGTGTTACTATTTTTTCCATTGCAATATTGTGTATTAATTTCTTCTTGCAAAGTTTTTCTTGTTTTAGTTTATACCCTTTTTTTACCATAGTTATAACATTCTGCATTTTCTATGGACAGTCTTTCCCAAGATGTAATTTTCCACATCTGAAACAAGGTTTTATATTCTTTTTTGTGCATTTTTCCTTAGCATTTACTAATGCACATTTTTTATTCTGAAATTTTTCAGCATCCTGCTTCATTCAGACTTAGAAATGTTTGGCAACTGTCTACTATTTCCTGTAGTGTTACATTATTGTTCTGTTCAATCTTTGCTAAAATATTTGTTCGTAATTCAGCATCTTCTCCCACTGTTAGACCTTGCATAAAAATTAATCCCTTGAACATATCTGGAGTCATTTCATTTAATTTAAATTATTCACATTCTCTGTTGACTGTACGCACATATGTGACAAAATCTT